AAAACAATATTGGACATCTTTTAAATACAATTATTTGATTTACTTTATATAAAGTAGAAAGTTAATCATATTTCGAATACTTTTTATTCAAAATAAAATATATGTGCACTTTTATTTCACTTTAAATACATTATATATTCGAGTTCTTCTCATATTTTTTTTAATACCGAAAATGGAAAATCTTAAATATAATTTTTAAACTGTCAAAAATCACACTTTTATTTTCGAATTCAGCCCGATATCGATAGTCCCCCAACTGACACCTGGCGATAGTTGGGGCTTATTTATGGTTTTGTTTGGTTAGCCGTTTTGGTGGCGAGCACTTTTGAGCGAGAGATCAGTTGGACTTTTGCGACGGGGCGACGCGCATGTACAATTTCTCGTTTCGCTGCGCGTGGGTAAATGTTTGCCTAACTCTCGGTTTCGATTCCGAATCAACAACAACTCGTAAGTGCCATTGAATTACTCGTCTGGCTGTGGCGCTCGTAATCACCGTGGAATGGCGAGTCAATGGGGGAATCAGATGCAAATTTGATTGGGCAAATGGGTGGAACCAATCAATTATGTGTATATATGGGAAAACGGTGGTGTTTGTGTGCCCAAATACAGGCAAATGCCGACCATTATCAATTTCCCCACTGGTGTCGCAATCTCCGCGTCCGTTTTCCGTCCACTGACCTACGATCCACCATCCACCTGCCCCCCAGGCGACGCAACAAGTGTCCCCATATATACTATATCCACACTATAGGGTATGCGTTAATTACGCGCATATGTCAAAAATGCTGAGCTGTTATTACAATTATTGTTGCATTATTTTAGCTTTATTTTCGTTCGTATTCCCCCAAGTGGCGCGTTTTGTTAAGCGTTATTTTTTTTTACCTTCCGCCAAGTGCTTGGCGCCGATTCCCCGGTTCCACCATTATCTGACGGCTAATTTTCCCCCGATAAGCCGGAATATAAATTGAAGTGCTCTTTATTTATGTCCGCAGTAAGGTGTGTTTCAAAATTATACGACACCAACACACTTATTTTTGGAAATTTTTTAGCGTTGTTGTTGTCTATAGAAAGCGAAACATTTAAATGCAGATCGAAAGAACAATGTATGATGTGTACGAAAAAAAATACCACGCGTCCTTCATCCTCTTTTTAAGGATTTACCGCTAATTTTTCGAAATATAGTCTATTTTTCGGCTATGTGCGATCGTTTCATAATTATACGACACCATCGATTTTTTCCGGTTCCAATGATCAAACTTGACCGAAATTTTTTTTCTGGTTAAATATAAACCAAAAGGTTCCATTTTGAGAGTAATCCAGCCCAAAGGTCCTTTCAATCTTCAACCAATACATAAATATTGAATATGTCTCTCTACACCTTAAAAAAGTAGTTTTTCGAAGTCATATCCCACAATTCGTCTTAACTTTTGTCTGGTCAATATTCTTAGCACTTTTGAATCAAATAAAAATCCTTTTCAGTTCATTACATGCACGAAACAGACCTCAAAAATCTTTTTTTAAAGGATTGCCCTTTTGGAACCAAACTGTTTTATTCCAAAAATATTTGATTTTGGGCGATACTTTCTGTCAGAATGCAAAAATTTGTTCTTCAAAACCTTAATAAACTTTCCACATTTCACGATTGGAACATTTGAAATGCGATCCCCAGTCTGCGCCACTTTGAAGTTTTTTCGAAATTTTTTCATACGAATTTGAGTGTTTTCTCCATGGGATTTCATTCGGGGGGCGCAGACTGGTGATCGCATTTCAAATGTTCCAATCGTAAAATGTGGAAAGTTTATTAAGGTTTTAAAGAACAAATTTTTGCATTTTGACAGGAAGTATCGCTCAAAATCAAATATTTTTGGAATAAAACAGTTTGGTTCCAAAAGGGCAATCCTTTAAAAAAAGATTTTTGAGGTCTGTTTCGTGAACGTAATACACTGAACAGGATTCTTATTTGATTCAAAAGTGTTAGGAATATTGACCAGACCAAAGTTAAGACGAATTGTGGGATATGACTTCGAAAAACTACTTTTTTAAGGTGTAGAGAGACATATTCAATATTTATGTATTGGTTGAAGATTGAAAGGACCTTTGGGCTGGATTACTCTCAAAATGGAACCTTTTGGTTTATATTTAACCAGAAAAAAATTTCGGGCAAGTGTGATCATTGGAACCGGAAAAAATCGATGGTGTCGTATAATTATGAAACGATCGCACATAGCCGAAAAATAGACTATATTTCGAAAAATTAGCGGTAAATCCTTAAAAAGAGGATGAAGGACGCGTGGTATTTTTTTTCGTACACATCATACATTGTTCTTTCGATCTGCATTTAAATGTTTCGCTTTCTATAGACAACAACAACGCTAAAAAATTTCCAAAAATAAGTGTGTTGGTGTCGTATAATTTTGAAACACACCTTATAACGGCGAAATTGAGGCAAAAAAAAAGGCCGGTACTTAAATTACGATTGCGTTGGGGAGGCAACCAGGGTCAGGGGGCCGCGATTTCCCCACATATTCACACAGTTTGACTTCCCTAAGTCCAATTTAATTGTTATTCAAGTGTCCATAACTTGTAAACGGTAGTTCCGGGCTACTTTAATATTTCTGGAAATATATTACTGGAGTTTTTTCCCAAAATTTGAGACATGTACTTAAAGTTAAATGCTAGCTTAGTCATGCTTTAAGTAATATATGATTACACAGGTCAACAAAATGGACTTTATTAAAAGGTGCAGGCCTATTGGCATTAAAACATGTTAATATAGACGTATATAAGCATATCTGCATACTTAGTTTTCGCGTTTAACGGGTGGTATTTGGGCAATCGCGGTTTGAAAAAAATAGCAACATTTAATTTTTTGATTTAAGATATCTTCGAGGGTCTGTGCTCAGTTGTAATAATACCTATGCCAAAAAATTGGTTAGATGCCCTTCTACATTATTGCACTTAAGGTTCCATCATAATGTGAGTCAATCACAGCCTATGAGCCATTGAAGTAATTTGTTCACCTCTATTCCCAACCAACTTGATGCGGTGAACACGCTTAAAAAAATACAAGGAAAAATATATGCCCTAAAATATTTTACAGGCATCTAGAGGCGTCTTTCACCGAATTTTTAAGACAAATAAGACCATTGTACGTCGAAGGATGGAATTTATAGGATTTTTTCCGTAAGAACTTAAAAAGTAACAACTATTTTTAAATCTCATTTTACATAAATATCTGACACATTCGTAAAAATTTGCCTTTCAATTTGGTTAGCAGTAGGCGCCGAACATAGAAAAATTATATTTTTAAGGGGTTAATATGCCTTAAAAAAATCCCCACCACAATTTTAAGGCGACGCCACTGTTATCTTTAAAAAGCCTACTGTGTAAAATCACGACAAACTCGTTACGTAAGAGTGACTCTAAAATACTTGTTACTTTTCCCATTCTTACGGAAAAAATTCTATAAATTCCATTTTTCGAAGTACAATAGTGGGATTTATCTCAAAAATTCGGTGAAAGACGCCTCTAGATGCATGTAAAATATTTTAGGGCACATATTTTTCCGTGTATTTTTTTAAGCCTGTTCACCGCATCAAGTTGGTTGTAAATAGAGGTGAACAAATTACTTCAATGGCTCATAGGCTTTTATTAACTCAAATAATGATGGAACCTTAAATGCAATTATGTAGAAGGGCATCTAAGCAATTTTTTGGCATAGGTATTATTACAACTGAGCACAGACCCTCGAAGATATCTTAAATGAAAATATAAAATGTTGCTACTTTTTTCAAACCGCGATTGCACAAATACCACCCGTTAAACGCGAAAACTAAGTATGCAGATATGCTTATATCCGTCTATATTAACACAATTTAATGCCCATAGGGCTGCACCAAAAACACTGTTGGCCTGTGTTATTCATGTATCTCAGAGCCCAGAATGAATCAACAGCTAAGTAGTTCAGTCTATTTTCTCAGTTTCAAAATACAATTCATCAGAAACCTATGATATAAAGATTCGGATTATAAAAACAATAATTTACCAAATCAAAGCTGATGGTAGTCCAAGCTAAGGACGTAATACTGTAGCTTACAAGTGTGTTGGTTTGGCATTGCTGTAATTTCAAGTCTGCATATTCAAGCATTGTAGTTTGTTCACTTAGACCCCGGGTTAAGGTAATCTGTGGCAATGGACAGTGGGCCCTAGAGCTGCTTAAACTGACACTTGACAAACATTTACTCTTTTTTATTTCTTTTATTAGAGGTGTAAGATCAAAGTTTTTAGGGCTTAGGATGACCAGTCAAATTTTGAGAGTTTTATATTTTTATTAGATAAGTTTTCAATGGTTTCCTTGATAAGATATACTACAAAATGCGATTAAAGTAGGAACTTAAATCGGAACTTATCTTTTGAGAGGCTCTAGTTTACATTATTTCATTGAAAAAATTTTAAACCAAGGTTCTAGAAACCAAAACGTTAAAATAATTAAACCAAGCTGATACTCAAACTCAAAACCCACAATTTAATGATATTACAGTTTTTTAGTTTCCGTAATTTGCAATTTGAGACTGGTTAACTTTGTCGCTGGTGTTGCAATTTTAATTGTACGATATGTGAATGGTGATTGTTGAAATTAGTAGACCAACTGGCGACAATATTTTTATAGCTTTCATTAATCGTCCAATCACCCTAAAATTACGCCTCAAGTGCATAATGGGATTAACGTTCGATTAAACTTGTTCAGCCCCACCGAAGTGGGTGAATAATTGGGGGTTCTAAAATATTCAAGTGCCCAAAATCGGATGTTCCACTGTAGGTTCACATGAATGATGCATGGACGGGCAAAAGTTTGGACCTCCAGCCGGACTTTGGCGCCGTTTTGGTGCCACTCGTGTGATTCACGATGCTCATGTCGCAAGCCTTTTTCGGCCGCACTCACTATCTTATCCGAAAAAGATTGAAATTTAATTAGAGCTATCAATTTCAATGGGTTCCAGGCCACGCCACATCGCACTAATCCGGCTCAGTCTTTGCCAATCACCGCATGGGAGCAGAGGATATCCGGACAGCCCACTGGCCACGTAATCAATCATTTTATGGACTAATAGCCCACAACCCCCAGTAAAATGCACAAGGCCATTAAAAACAAATCCAGTAAGTGAGTAAGCGAAAATGGAAAATTCCGCTAATACGATTTGGATAATTATTTTGCTCAGGGTTGCTCTGTGGACTCAAGAACTCCAAGGCGGATCTGACGACGGCTAAGTTTATACTATATTATGGGTAAGTAATAACGTGTATCTATGTAATCCTTAATAATTTCTAGAAAACATAAATATTTTTCTATTAGATCTAAATTTATTTTTAATTTTTATCCAAGAATTTTCCTAAAGTTTAATCGTTTTACCCACAGACCGACGGTAGCAGATAGCGATATCTATGACCTAACCGATTTCCAGAGTCTTCTGGAGGATATACACTTGGATTTGGCCAAGAATACTGTGCTCTATTTGCATGGCTATCTGGAAGATCCCGATGTGGAGAGCATTCACGTCATAGCCGAGGCCTATTTGGAGCGAAAGGATACCAACCTTATCGTCCTGGACTGGGGTGAACTGGCCGATGGCAATTACATGTTCGATGCCTTCCCCAACCTCAAGCAATTGGGCCCCGAGTTGGCCAAGATCCTGCTCAAAATGTTCGACCATGGCCTGGACATTGACAAGTTTCACATTGTTGGACATTCGATGGGTGGCCAATTGGCCGGGCTCCTGGGTCGCGAGATTATCAAGAGATCCAAAGGTGCTCGAAAGCTGAAAAGGTGAGAGGGGGTTCCTAAATTCCCAATTTTACATTTATGGGTCTATCGATTATATTGTTTTTTATGGGATATTAATTGGTTCGTTGGTTTTGTAATGTTATTTAGTTGGTTTTATTATTTTTTGATATGAAATTAATATGTTCATCCACTGAAAAAAATTAATTTCAAATTAATATGCTTATTCACTTGAACAAATTAAATTCTAACTGAAATATAATAAAATGCATGATCCATTTAATTTTAAAAAGTATTTACTTCTTTATTTATTTAGTATGTTTTATTACTTTTTTAAATGAAAATAATATGTTTATCCACTTGGAAAAAAAGTTAAAATTAATATGGTCAATTAGCATTGCTTATTCACTTGAAAAAATGAATTTCTAATTGAAAAATAATAAAATGCATAATCCAAATAATTTGAAAATGTATTTACCTCTTTAAAATGAAATTTTAACGGAATATTTATTAAATTTCTTAAAAATGTCCTTAGGATTTCCGCCCTGGACCCCGCCTTTCCGCTCTTCTATCCGGGAGCCCACCTGTCTGCCAGTGATGCGAAATTTGTGGATGTGATACACACGGATGCCTGGCTATATGGTGCTCCGACGAGCACCGGGACGGCGGACTTCTGGCCCAACGGCGGCAACAGCCTGCAGCCGGGCTGTCCGAAGCGCAACTACAAGATGCTCAGCGACAACGATTTGTCCAGTCACCGGCGAAGCTGGTGGTTCTGGGCCGAGAGCGTCTCGGATCGGTATCCCATCGGATTCGATGCTGTGTCCGCCAAGAAATGGTCGGACTTCAAGCAAAACAAGACGACGGAGACTTGCCCGCCGGTGGTGATGGGTCACCATTGCCCCACATCGTAAGTACTGCCAGCCCTCGAGGTTAAACCTAAATTTCTATGCCGTAAATTAATTATTTGAATTATGGTTAATTGCAGAATTCATGGCGATTTTTACTTACAAACCAACGGACAAACACCTTTTGCTCGTGGAAAGGAGGGCACTGTGTACGTGGAGCCCAATCAGCTGCTAGGAAATACCCACAGTATCACCTGTGATAGCCCTCCGCAGCAAACGAATTAAATTGATCATTAGCAATTGCACTGTGTACATTTGAAATGTAGCTAAATTAATGTTGTTTCTCCTTACATTCGCCTTACATCACATTTTGCTATACGAGAAATATATACTTAAATTTTGTTGTTGACCAAAAAAAATGTATGTTTATTTATTTATTTATATAAAGCTAGCTTACAGTGTAAAACTATGAGCTAACTGAGAGTTTTAGAGCGCTAGAAACTAAGGCTTTCGACTACTGTATATTTTATTGAGGGAAAGTGAAACGAGATGATTTTGTTGATGTTGGCGTAATTTTCTTTCATTTCTTGAGTAATTTGTTTTTATAAATACAAATAACCGTTAGTAAGTTTGGCGCACTTTTAAAAAATTCAAAATCAGCTTACTGGTTCCGCTCCACCGATTCATCCCGGAACCACTCACAGTTCCCTAGTTCGATATCGATAGCGAGCAACAACCTATCGAGCCGCGGACTGCCATCGCTAGCAGAGCCTTGCGTCAAAAAAATTCAATTGACAACAAAAAACAAATCCGAAATTTAATCCGGCGGCTCAAAATGAAGATAAAACTAATCGATCCCGTGGTGCGCAGCTTCAAGGTGGCCAAGATCTTCCGCGAGAACACGGACAAGATCAACGCCATTGACTTTGCGCCGAACGGGGAGCACCTGATTTCGTGCAGCGAGGATGACCAGATCGTGATCTACGATTGCGAAAAGGGAACGCAGTCGCGCACGGTGAACTCGAAGAAGTACGGCGTGGACTTGATTCACTTCACCCATGCCAACAACACGGCCATCCACAGTTCCACCAAGGTGGACGACACCATCCGGTATCTGAGTTTGCACGACAACAAGTATCTGCGCTACTTTCCCGGCCACACCAAGAAGGTCATCTCGCTGTGCATCTCTCCCGTGGAGGACACCTTCCTCTCCGGCTCGCTGGACAAGACGCTGCGCCTGTGGGACCTACGTTCGCCCAACTGCCAGGGATTGATGCACCTCTCCGGCCGACCCATCGCCGCCTACGATCCCGAGGGCCTGATCTTCGCCGCCGGCGTCAATTCGGAGAGCATCAAGCTGTACGATCTGCGCTCCTTCGACAAGGGACCCTTCGTCACGTTCAAGCTCAACCAGGAGAAGGAGTGCGACTGGACGGGCCTGAAGTTCTCGCGCGACGGCAAAACGATTCTGATCAGCACAAATGGATCGGTTATCCGACTGGTCGACGCCTTTCACGGCACTCCGCTGCAAACGTTCACCGGCTATCCGAACAACAAGGGCATCGCCATCGAGGCGAGCTTCAGCCCGGACTCGCAGTTCATCTTCTCGGGCAGCACCGATGGACGCGTGCACATCTGGAACGCCGACACGGGCAACAAGGTCTCCGTGCTGAATGGCGATCATCCGGGACCGGTGCAGTGCGTCCAGTTCAATCCCAAGTACATGATGTTGGCCTCTGCATGCACCAACATGGCCTTCTGGCTGCCCACCTCCGAGGAGGGATTGTAATTGAATGTTTCCCGCTTGCTTAGCTCATAAGATTAAAGTTTAATTTATAAATAACAAACGAAATTAACTTAAGACGCAGCTTGATCGTATCTTTTGCGTATGCTTTTAAGGAGCTCTCCCAGATTGTGACCCATCTTGGCGCTGATGCCCAGCACGGGATTCTCTAGCCTGCGCTGCAGCTCCTCGAAATTACTTTGACCCTCCGCCACATCCAGTTTGTTGGCCACCACCAGTTGCGGGCGACTGGCTAGGCTTCCTCCGAACTTCCGCAACTCGTGCATGAGCTGCTCGTAGTGCGTCCAAGGCTCCGCGGCACTGGCGTCTAGGAGAAATAGTAACAAGCTGCATCGTTCGGCGTGCTTTAGGAACTGTATGCCCAATCCCTTGTTCAAATGGGCATCGGGCACGAGTCCTGGAAGATCTGCGATGGTCAGCTGAACGTGATCATCGTACTGCACGGTGCCCAGATGAGGACGCAGCGTGGTGAAGGCGTAGGGAGCCACCTTTGGCTTGGCCCGCGTCAGGGCATTCAGCAGGGTGCTCTTGCCCGCATTTGGATAGCCAATCAGGCCCACATCCGCCATGCTGCGGAGCTCCAGGGTGTAGGAGAGATCCTCGCCAGTGGGTCCGTATTCGCAGACCTTGGGACTCGTTTCCTTGTCGGTGGTAAAGAAGCGATTGCCCTTGCCGCCGGCTCCACCGCGAGCGGCCACAAACATGAGGTCCGCCTGCCCGAGATCGCCGACAATTAGACCCTGGGCATTCCTGATCACCGTTCCAATGGGCACCTTAATCACCGCATGCTTGGCGTTCTTGCCATGGCAATCCTTGGAGCCGCCCCTCTCCCCCTCCTCCGCCTTGAGCACGCTGCCCACGTGGTTGAAGTTGCGCACATCGTTGGAGGCCTGGAAAACCACATGGCCACCGTGGCCACCGTCGCCGCCATCCGGACCGGCGCGCTCATTGCACCACAGCTGCAGGAAGGAAACGCAGCCGTCGCCACCTTTCCCGCCGATGGCTCGGATCCGCTTGGCATCCGAGAAGTACTGCGACTGGAAGGGATCACCAAAATCGAGCTAAAGTTATGTAAATCTTATGGGAATCTGAAGATCTTACCTCTTTCCGGTTCGATTTCGCCTTCTTTGGACGCAGGGCAGTGGCCACCTGGCAGTAATTAGCTATCAGTCCAGATGGTCTAGCATTTCTGGATATATCCAAGGAAATCCGCGCCAGGAAAGATCTGCCGGTAGAAAACAACATTGCTAAAGCTTAGGTAGGCATGGGCGGGGGCAAAAAAACATCTGTTCGAGGGGGTCATACGAAAAATAAAAGTGCAGTTTTATACCGAAATAAGAGTGGTCTTTTCAGAAAAATTTTGAGAGAAATTTTGAAGGTGCGAGGGGGTCTTACGAGAAATATAAGAAAAGTTGTATACCGAAATACGGTTAGTCTGTTCAGATCCTTTTTTATTATTATTTAAGATTATTTAATGTTCGTTAAAGTAAAGAAAGGGCATAGCAGACTTACCTAGGGAAAACGGCCCCCAGCGATTTTTAAAAATTTTGAATCAGCGATGGTAGATAATTAGAAGGAGAATATGGAAACCAATTTTCAAAGCTATTGGACATTTGGCTGAGGAGTAATCGTCTGCAATCCAAAAATGTATTTAAGCTTATATCTGACCAACGGAAACGCTTAACTGAAAATTAGTGATGAGAAATCAAAGGGATAAGAAATAGGTCCTCGCTAAAAAAGCTTGGAATTTTTAAGACTTTTTAAAAGTGCAGAAAACCGCGATTAAAATTTTCAAAAAAAATTTTGACCACTTTCAAGTTTTGGCAACACCACCAATTTTTTACAGCTCCTGTGTCTTTTAACCATTGAATTAATAAAAAAAAATCATAATTTTATAGGTGGTGCAACAGTGTCAAAGAAAGGAAAAACTAGATTTCAAGTAGTTTTGTGGGACTTTTTCTACAACCCGGCCACCCCAGTTTTTTTTTTAAGTTTTTGAAGTGCACAGTACCAACTTGATTGCAAAGCCCATTGCTTCCAATATTTATTCTCACACCTATTTTGGCACTATCATCACTCTTTTGCCGTATTTTGGCGTTAGAAAGAAAACACGAAATCAATTTTATCTTTCGAGCAGAAAGCACGATTTGCATAATTCAAAAGCAGAAATATCTGTCTTTTCATGGCCGATAACGAGATAAAAAAATAATGCTTTCAGACCATTGATGACCCAGCGATACCATTTTTTAAGTCCAAAAGTAGGCTTTTAATATGTAATACACAAAATTGTATATGCTTTGGAAAAAAGTAATAGGTCAATGAAAAGAATTCATAGCGAATTCCTCAACGGAGATCCCACATTAAATCCAGTGAATTGGGATAGAATGGTATTTTTTAAACTTACCTATTGGCCGAAATCCTACTTTTGGACTTAAAAAATTGTCTGAACATCTATGGTCTGAAAGCATTATTTTTTTATCTCGTATTCGGCCATGAAAAGACAGATATTTCTGCTTTTGAATTATGCAAATCGTGCTTTCTGCTCGAAAGATAAAATTGATTTCGTGTTTTCTTTCTAACGCCAAAATACGGCAAAAGAGTGATGATAGTGCCAAAATAGGTGTGAGAATAAATATTGGAAGCAATGGGCTTTGCAATCAAGTTGGTACTGTGCACTTCAAAAACTTAAAAAAAAAACTGGGGTGGCCGGGTTGTAGAAAAAGTCCCACAAAACTACTTGAAATCTAGTTTTTCCTTTCTTTGACACTGTTGCACCACCTATAAAATTATGATTTTTTTTATTCATTCAATCGTTAAAAGACACAGGAGCTGTAAAAAATTGGTGGTGTTGCCAAAACTTGAAAGTGGTCAAAATTTTTTTTGAAAATTTTAATCGCGGTTTTCTGCACTTTTAAAAAGTCTTAAAAATTCCAAGCTTTTTTAGCGAGGACCTATTTCTTATCCCTTTGATTTCTCATCACTAATTTTCAGTTAAGCGTTTCCGTTGGTCAGATATAAGCTTAAATACATTTTTGGATTGCAGACGATTACTCCTCAGCCAAATGTCCAATAGCTTTGAAAATAGGTTTCCATATTCTCCTTCTAATTATCTACCATCGCTGATTCAAAATTTTTAAAAATCGCTGGGGGCCGTTTTCCCTAGGTAAGTCTGCTATGCCCTTTACCCATTTTAAAGGCACAACAAAATCGAGCTACGCCCCTGGAAAATCACCTGCTGATACACAAAACATATCGAAAGGACTATCGGCAATCGAACCAGCTGGAAGCTATCAAATGTTGTTGTTTTTGGCAGGAAGCAGGAGCTTTTCACACTTGCGAAGGATGTCTATCAAAGGAGCCCTCATTGATCTCAGCGGAACCCTGCATGTGGAGGATGAACCTACTCCAAATGCAGTTGAGGCTTTGAAAAGGTGCTACTACAAGTGATATTACAATAAAATCCAACCTAAAAGCACAAGTTTCTTTTGCAGACTCCGTGAATCTGGTGTGGAGGTCAAGTTCGTAACGAATACCACCAAGGATTCCAAGGGCACTCTGCACGAAAGGCTCTGCAGGATTGGTTTCCAACTTGACCCCTCTGAGATCTACAGCTCCTTGAGCGCAGCAGTGGACTTTGTGGAGGATGAGAAACTGAATCCTTACTATATCCTGTCTGAGGATGCGCGCCAGGACTTTCCGCCGGAGGATACCAAGCGCTATCAGGATTCAGTTGTGATAGGACTGGCTCCAAAGGCTTTTAACTATGACAAACTGAACGAGGCTTTCAAGTGGGTATCGTAATAATATATATCCTAATCATATCCTAACATCCCAATCTTTCCAATAGAGTTCTCCTGGAGAATAAGAATCACAAACTGGTGGCCGTGCATCAGGGTAAATACTACAAACGCGCCGATGGCCTGGCGTTGGGACCGGGATGCTTTGTTAAGGGTTTGGAATATGCCACCGGAAGAACCGCCAAAGTGATTGGCAAACCGAATCCGTACTTCTTCGAAGGAGCTCTGGATGGTCGGGATCCCGCCACCTGTGTTATGATAGGAGATGTGAGTGGGATCTTATATAATGAGTAGTATCTATTATAATTCCTCGATACTTTCCAGGATGCCCACGATGACATTGTCGGCGCCATGAGCGTGGGCATGCAGGGAATCCAGGTCAAGACGGGCAAATATCTGCCAGATGTCCAGCCATCGCCTCCTCCAACAGCTCTGGTGGAGAACTTTGCCGAGGCAGTCGATTGGATAATACAGAAAAACAAATCTTAAGCTATAAGCTATGTGTTCTTAAAAAAAATGTGTGTGACATATTTAACCTTAAATGTAGTTATTGACAAATTATTCATTTAATGTATAATTCAATAAGGCATTACTATTATCTTTAGAGTTTGAAAAGTAATTAAATGTGTAAATTGAGTTTATACTGTAGTTTTCCCTTAAAGTCAAAGACACATTTGGGTATTTATTATAAGTGTATAAATGCTTTTATTTTCAAATTATTCATTTAATGTATAATTTAATAAGGCATTACTATTATCTTTATAGTTGGAAAAGTAATTAAATGTGTAAATTGTAGTTTCCCTTCAAATCAAACACACATGGGTATTTATTATAAGTGTATAAATGCTTTTATTTTATAAATAGCCGTAAAAATTCATCTGAAATGCTGTTTGGAACAGATCAACGGATTGGGATTAAGCATAAGTGTATCAAAATTGTGAGTAATTGAAGGTCTTGCCGCTTGTTAGTTCTATATATATTTAAGACAACTTCGACTGGGCAAACTTGCTGGCCAGCTGGACAATCTCGTCCACCTTTTCGTAATTTGTGCCCGAGGCCTGGGCGGACTCCGGTTTGCCGCCTCCCTTGCCGCCCAGCGTGGCGGAAACGTGCTGCACCCACTCGTTCGCCTTCAGGCCCTTCGCCACGGCACTCTTGGGCACCGAACTGAGGCAGAAGATCTTCTTGGAGTCCACGTCCACGGACAAGAACATGGCAGCGGCATCGGGCAGCTGGCTGCGCACCTGCTTGAGTGCGGCATCCAGTGCCTTGGTGTTGTTAAAGGCCTCCAGCTGCTCGACTAGCACGGTGGCCTCGGGATTGGCCTCGCACAGCGCCTTAGCGCGCTCCACGACGGTCACCGAGACGGCGGCGCGCAGGGCACGCTCCTTGTCGTCCAAAGTCTTCTTCAAGCCCTTCAGCAAATTACGCATTTCATCCTTCTTCACGTATGGAATCGTGGCATGCGAGATCTGTTCTGTGAGGTCGACAATCTCCTTGACATGCGACTTGGAGTCCTTGCCCGACTGATCGGCATCGATGGTGGCCTTCAGCTGGATGATTTCCTTTTCGAAAGCCTCCGATTTCTTGAGCGCCTTGAGAGCTTCGGGCCCGGTGAGAGCCACAATGCGTCGGATGCCCTTGGCAATGGCCTCTTCGCTGCTGATGACAAAGTCCATGATGTGGCCCGATCGCCTGAGATGCGTGCCGCCGCAGAACTCCACGGAGGTCTGTTCGCCGGCCCCGGAGTCGGGATTCTGCTCCAGTTCGTCCACAGAGACGCCGAAGGAGATTACCCTCACGGGATCCGGGTAAACCTCGTCGAAGACAGAGCGCAATCCACGGATCTTCTTCGCCAGCGCCAATTGCGACTCCTTGGCGTAGATGGGCACATTCTTGTACACCATCTCCTTGGTCAGCTGCTCCGTTTTGGCCACCTGCTCGATGGTCATGGCACCCTTGCTGTTGAAGTCGAAGCGCAGCTTCTCTGGCACCACCAGCGAGCCCTTCTGCTCGGTGTCCTTGCCGAGGACTTGCAGCAAACAGTGGTTGAGTGCATGCGTGGCCGAGTGGTTCTTCATAGTCAGCCAGCGGCGCTCCACATCGATATGCAGTTCCAGCTCATCGCCCAGTTTTAGTGTGCCCTCTACGACGCCGATGTGAAGGATGTAGCCTCCTCGATTATAAACGCGATCCACCAGGAATTCGTTGGCCTCGTCGTTGACCTTAACCAAAGCACCTTGATCGTAAATCTGACCACCGCTCTCCGCATAGAAGTTTGTGTTGTCCAGCACGATGCCTGCCTTCTGGCCGCTGCTGATTTCGTTCACAAACTGATTCTCGAAACGCAGGGCGACGATCTTGCTGCTGCACACACCGTAGTTATAGGCAGAGTCACGCTCCTCCGACACAGCCTCGTATTTGTACTTGAAGGAGTCGTTGGTGGGCGGCACTCCCTGATCCTGCAACTGCGAAATGGCGTGCACATCCAGATTGATCTCCTCGATCTTGCTGGCACCCTTGCCCTGCGATAGCACATAGGAATTCTGCTTGGCGGCCTCGTAGCCATCCATGTCGATTTTGAGGGACTTCTCCTCGGCCATCAGCTGGGTAAGATCGACTGGGAAGCCGTAGGTATCGTACAGACGCCAGGCAACATCGCCGGGAATGGTGGTCTGATTGCCCAACTTTTCAATGGTGCGGTTGAGCAGGTTGCGTCCGCGCGTTAGAGTCTTGAGGAACTGCAACTCCTCCTCGTTGATAATGTCAATGATGTGTTGCGGATCCTTCTTCACCTCTGGGAAGGCATCGCCCAGCAGATCCACCACGGTGTTTACAAGGGTGGCAAAGAAACCGGGCTTGGCATTCAGCTTCTCAGTGGCATAGCTATAGGATATAAATAGGATTTGTTTTAACATTTTATCAATGCTTATATGTAGACCTCGGATTTAGCATATTTGCATACTTTTTGTAGGATAAAGATAGATCGATTCCGAAAACACCAAGGTTCGTTTCAATAAAATTAAAGTATAAAATTAATGGCATATTTTATTTTTGCATATTTGCATAAAATGCATATGCATAAAATATGCAAAATATAAAATAAATTCATCTATTCAAGATTGTCCATTTCATAGCCAACCTATTTTATCCGAAGAAAATTGTTTGTTCTTTTTCGTCATTTCTGAGATATATAATTTTTTTCCCAAATTTATGTATACCCTATTTATATTTAGTAAAAGGGGCAGAATAGTTTTTGGGTTGGAATACCAGAGAGCTGCATTAAAAATTTGAGCCTTCAGTTGTTTGCATATTTTATGCATATATTTTATGCATATATTTTGCACATTTCCGATATGCATCCGAATTTATTACATTTGAAAAATATGACACCTACCTAGAAATTATGTTAAAAATCGGACCAAAAATAGACAAATATGCAAAATCCAAGGTCTACTCACAAGTCAAGTCAACTTACCGCACAGCGCGACGAAGGATGCGTCGCAGGACATAACCGCGACCAGTGTTATCCGGAGTGCCGCCATCGGCGAGGGCAATGGTGATGGTGCGGGCGTGATCGGCGAGCACGCGGTAGGCCATGTCAATGCCGTCCACATCGTCGGCGCCCACGCGTCCCTGGTAAGCTGGGGCACCAGTGCCCGCCTGGATGGCCTCGAAGAGGGGCACAAAAAGATCCGTGTCGTAGTTGGAGCGCTTGTTCTGAATGACGGACACCAAACGCTCGAAACCCATGCCGCAATCGATGTGCTTCCTGGGCAGCTGCTTCAAACTACCATCGGATTCGCGGTTGTACTGGATGAACACCAGATTCCAGATCTCCAAAACATCCGGATCGTCCATGTTGACCAGCTCTGGGACGCTGCGCCCACCAATCCGGTCAAAGTGCAGCTCGGAGCAGGGTCCGCAGGGTCCCGTTTCGCCCATCTCCCAGAAGTTATCCTTCATGCTGCCCGGCAGGATGTGCTCCGGCTTGAGGCCCAAGTCCAGCCACAACTGCTTGCACTCCAGATCGGGTTCCAGACCGCTAGCCTCATCTCCCCCAAAGTACGTCACATACAGGCGATCCTTGGGCAGGCTGAGGCGCTGGGTGAGGAACTCCCAGGCCCACGAGCAGATCTCCTTCTTGAAGTAGTCGCCAAAGGACCAATTGCCCAGCATCTCGAAGAAGGTGTGATGGTAGACATCCTTGCCCACATCATCCAGATCGTTGTGCTTGCCGCCGGCACGGATGCACTTCTGCGTGTTGGCCACGCGCACCCACTTGGACATCTCGCTGTTGGGATCGGCGGTGCCCAGGAAGATGGGTTTGAACTGGTTCATCCCCGCGTTGGCGAACAGCAGCGTGGGATCATCCAGGGGAATGGTGCTCGATGAGTGGACATAGATGTGCTGCTGCTCCTTGAAGAAGCCCAGATAGGCATCGCGCACCTCCTTGGCGGTGAGGAACTTCATTTCGCTGCTAGCTGCAATGGTCAGGTAGTGGGTGAGATTAAAATTTTTACTTAAAGCTTGCCACGCGACAATTGGGGCTCCCTAACCCCTCAAAATGGCCCACAAAGCGGAGCAGTGAAAGTGCACACTGCACTACGTGACTGTATTACACAATTACGGGGCAAATTAAATCAGAAAAGCGTCCGTTTGTTTATTTCTACTGTTGTAAGGTAGCCCGCACTGCCGCCGAACCAAAACAAGTTATGTATTACTCACGTTTTCAACAGTAAATGCAAATGCAAACAATTTCGTCAGCCGACTGCAGCAACGTAGAGCTGCAAAAAAATCGATGGAACCATCGATAGTATCGATGGTTGGCCGCCGGTGACTGACTTCGATATTTTTCAGACTATCACGATAGTTTAAAAAACCATAAATTCGGTGGAATTCTTTATAATTGTTCAGCCATTTTTAATTTTTATGAATCAACATTTTTTTCCAGATTGCGCGCGCACTGTTTTTTACTTTTACGTCATTGAAATTTATCACAAGCGTTGAGCAGACAAAATTGATCACTGATCACTGATCCATATGTATGGATGTGTATTAAAAAGATCTCACTTTAATTTAATCTAATTGCAATTTGAATTTTCAACAATTAAAATTTTTAAAGGATCCCCAATGTTTATGTATGAGCGATACTATCGCGATAGTATCGAGGTTAATTCTGCAAACTATCAAAACTATCGATGGGGCCTACCATCGATGTTTTTGCAGCTCTACAGCAACGTGTGAGATTCGCACCTTTCCGATAGGCAATGCGGCAAACTTTGGCGCCTATCGATAAGCTTAGCGATGGTCAAAATAACCGTTTTTGGATGTTAAAAATGTAATCCATTTTTATATTTGTAAAAAATAGAATAGATCATTTTCTAATAGCAGTGCAGAATTCTAATTTTAGGAGGTATTTATTTTTAAAATTATTTTTAGGCACTGGTCTCTAATAAATAAATGTCAAAATAACCGTTTTTTGATGTTATTAAATTGAGTGCATTTTTATTTTAGCAAAAAATAGAATAGATCATTTTCTATCTTGTGAGGTTTTTTTGAAGGTTAAAACATTAATTCTACACACTTTTTGAATTGAATAATAGGACTTTGGTCTGCAATTAATAAATTTAGTCAAAAATTTGGCAGGGGATAATTCAAAAATGTGGTTTCTTGTAAGAGTAACTAATTTAGTAATTCTTAAAATATTTTTTTAAACTACATGCTTACATATATTACGATTTTTAAATGGCTTTTTCAAACATTTTCTTTTTTTAATTGCATTTTATTCAATACAAAAATGCATCAAAAAAACCAAAAATACATATTTTAATCCAATCGAAAAAGTTATTTTTGATCCCACAAACAAATCACCAAAAACTACAAATTGCACATGGACAAATCTCCAAAATGCGCCTCTATTTCATCTAGTCAACAGGGTATAACAATTAAAAGTCGAATCTCTGGGGCATGTGCTCCTCCTCCAGCTGGTGCTCGATCTCCCTCATGCGCAGCATCAGTTTGAAGTTCTGCTTGTCCTCCTGGCCGGTGAGGAACATGGTGAGCAGGGCCTGCAGGCAGATGATGGTGCCCAGGGCGGGGACAATGGGGCGGGTGATCTTGCGCCACAGCTGGAACACCTCGCGCGGACTCTCCGTGATCGAGGGCATGCGGTACGTGTAGCAGCGGGTGGCGAACATAAATGCGGCGAAGGGAGCCAGGATCGTGGGATACACAATGCCCAGACTCGTCTGGAAGGCGGCACTCCGCACTTGGATGCACACCGGGCACTCGCCCAGGGGATTCAGCAGAATGGGCCGCTGGATGAAGAACTTGTGCGTCAGCATGGTGAAAATGGCGGGAACGGCGACAATCGGCAGGTAACTGGACAACCGACCATGTCCGCCCAGTCGCAGCTTCGTACGATAATGGTTATTGATGTAGGCCCCCGTTCCCGCAGCCAGGGCGGCCAGAATTCCGGGGGTGTATCGCAGGGACCACCTATAAGACATTATTTTGGTTTAGGATGTTAGGTAAGCGGCTTGTTTGGAGTTCTGTAGCACTTACACATCGCCGATTTTGTCCCAGGCGGTTATGATCTTCCACTGGTACTTGAGGGCCTGATCCTCTGTGATCACAACCGCATCCTTGGGCAGTTCTTCGGGCTTGGCTCGGGATAAGGCCATTATTCTTTGAGGAATCAAAATATTTGGTTCAAAACCCCCCACCCAAAATCAGGTGTGCAGCTGGTGCAGTGTTGTAAAACGCCAGAACCGGCTGGTTACAGTGGGTATTAGAAAGTAAAACTTTCTGAAAAAAGTTTAAATATTTCAAAATGTATTTCAAAAAATATATATAAGCCAACCACAGGTATTTTTTATAATGTGTGTAATATAACAAAGCCTGTTTTCATGTATAATATTTTTCTAATATTCTATTTTCTTTCAAAAGAAATTTCACTGTAGAACAGCTGTTGGCCAGTGCTCGAAAATAGCCGAATCAGTGTGGCGTGCTGTTTAAAATCAGAGGCGAGTTGAAAAGTACTTTCGTATTCCTTGCGGCTCTGTTCAAAATGCCGCACAAGCGTAAAACCCGACTCAATATGAACCAGAGGACCTCCACGACGCGTCGTGTTCAATTGGCGCCCACAGCAAGGCCAAACATCCTGGTTCAATCCTGCAATGGCGTCGAGGCGGAGATCCCGATGCCGGATAATCCGAAGCCCAAAAGTACCGGACCGACGTCCCAGAGACCCTTAATAATCGACAAGTTTGCCGTGCCCCAGTACAACACCACCGTGCGCAAGCAAAGCGAGGTTCAGATAATATCCCACATTATGCTGGACACGAAAATTCAATCGGAAGCTAATGCAGTTATAGCACCAAAGGTTAGTTAGGGTTCTAATAAGTAGAAACAATTTTAAAACAATTATAACTCCACTATAAGGTCACCCAGAAGATGAACTTCCCGCCGGATCAGACTGTCTTCAAGGATCTGGTGCCCCTAAATGTCAACGATTCCGTGCTGGTGCCGAAAAAAATCAAAACCGATGCCTCGAAGAACAAGCCCTCCAAGGAAACCGAGCCGAACAAGGCCAAAAGCGAGCCCCAACTGGCCGACTATGCGGAAAAGGTGGAACCCATTGAGATGGCCATTCCGGAGCCACAGATCCATTTGGATTGCACACAAGAACCCTTTGATTTTCTCGGCGCCTATCGCCAGATCTACTATTAGAGTTACATTTTATTTATAAATATATCCGAGTCGCATGTTGGGTAGCTTGGTTAACCGATGAAGTTCATCACCACCAGGTGCAGGATCACATGGGCGAAGATGAAGTCGGCGAATCCGCGTTCCGGCGAAATGCCGGCAAAGACCGTCTTGTTCTGGGGATTGGCCTGCAGGCGGAGGCACACGGCCAGGACGAAGCAGCTGACGGTGCTGATGAATCCGGAGAGGAAGGAGTTGAACGGGAAGGTGCCCACCAGGCAGCAGTAAACAAACTGGATGATGCCGGTCAGCAGAATGTAGCCCAGGTAGATGTCCACCAGCTTCAGCTTCTTGGGCGTGTTCTGCACGTAGTCGTTGTAGAACTTGGAAATGACGCTCGACAGCTCCACCATGTTGATCTTCCTTCGGTTATTGGTCCGGTAATTTAAGGATAAAGGCGATTTTAAATAAATTTACCGCAGACACGTCACGAAATGGGAGAGAACACAAAAGTAGGACCGTAGCTGGAATGTGAAAAAAATACGGAAAACTCTAGCGATTAGGTCTCAAGTACAGTGGACACTGAATAGGTAAACTGACGAACAAATTATCGGTAGAAAACAGATTACTCCCTTTTCAACATATTTTTTTTGCTGATTAACTTTTTATTAAAAAAACTTGGTTTAAAAAGTTAATTTTATTTCTTTTTTACTAATATTTACATCTCATAAAATCAAAATGAGTAACAAAATATTTCAAAATTTTATATAAAAGAGTAAAAGAAGATTTATAATTGATTTTAAAATTATTGTTCCGTTAAAAGTTAATATTTTTTATTTCAATAAAATTAGATACATTTATTTTGTACATTTCAAAACTTCTAAGCATAAAATTTCCGCTTTCAACAATTATTTTTAGATGGTATTAGATTTCTTAACTAATCTTTACTGTACCGTCAAATCGACTAAACAATCGATAGATACGGAAAAAACCAACCTTGCTGGTGTTTTGCTTTGCAGCTTCAGTGCTGTTTCGGGGTGTGAGGCAATTGTTATTGCGAGCTAAATTCGAAGAAAGTAGTAACGTATGTATTGAAAACCGCAAGAGCAGTTAAAGGATAGCATGTGTGTTGCAACTTCGATACAACTTATCAATTGGGCGAAAGTCATCACTTTCGTCCTATCAAATGTCTGTGGCGAATACAACATGATTCATTGTTGATGTCTTCTCTGTTCGATTCGCAGACTGGAAAAAGATAATTGGCATCCGTCTCCTCCCCCACACACACAAATTCTGTAATTAATGGAGTTTTGGAGAACTTTGGTTTTAGTTTGATTTGCCTTGCACATTGATAAATCGCAATCGCACCACAACGTTGTGACCTTCGCAGGAGCACCTACAGATTTCATTGTCAGTGTCAAGCGGGAAAAAATCAATGGAGGACCTGACGCCATTAACCAACCTTCAACAGGTAGAACACCCACACATCCGACCATCCACATGCGCATGCTGATTGGGTTTATTTTGATTTTATCTTTCATTAATTATCCTTGTTAATTATCCTTTGTTTTTCAGTTTTAGTTCCAAGATTATTATTTATTCCACTGCCCAAAAGCCGAGTTTCTACGACTACAAAAAATCAAAAGAAATCGACCATCCCAAGTTGAGATTCATCTGTAAGTGAAACAAGATACAATTATGTATATCTGTAATTTCGCACTTTGTTGTGCAAGTCTGTGATGCAAGATAAAACGAAATTAAGTTGGAATTCTTGATGCTTTGTTTGATTTCTTTATTGCACTCAAATAAAGATTACTTGACATAAGTCTGCTGCTTGTCGAGATCTAAGTAGACTAGATATAATCCTATTTAAGCCCTGGCTAAGAATTTAGTTTACATTTCTTGAATATGTATGTAGTACTTTGCTTGGCAAAACAAAATAATGCTTATACTCAGAAACATTTATTGAGGTCACGCATTTGTTACCTTTTAATTTTAGATTATAAATAATTTCCTATGTTTCTTCTTATGTTAAATTTGTAAACTAACTTTTTTTAAATCAATATTTTTCATTTATTTGTTTAAACTTTAATTCAACAGTTTAATTTTGAGTATTTTCGTAGAACGTTAAATTCTTTCAAACTCATTTTATACCATAGGAAGTATTGCATATCAAAGAACTGGTCTTGCAATCTGAGTAACCCCGTCTACTGACTCAATAAGCCAGTAATCAAATAATAATGGGTGGATATTTGATTCACCGTCTGGATACACATTATATAATTCTGATTTATGGTATGACCACTGGCTTTGCAGGCGATATGCGGGTCTTATCGCCTCGTATAGCTTGTTTTTGCGAACTGTTGGTGTTTTCGGTTTTAAAGCTATACTCTAGCAACTGGACTCGCCAATTTGATATCGACTTCCGAAGCGAGCGTAATCAGACCCATATGCAATATGCAAAGTAATGAAGTGATCAAATTAATCGTACTTTGAGTCAAGTCCAAGGCTGAGTCGGACTATCAGCATGGTCGAAATTTTCCGCTCCGCACTCCCGGCACGCGTCTCCTATCCGCCGCACTATCTGCACCTCCTATTGTTATACATAAGTGTGGAAAACTGAGTCAGCGGAAAATTTCCGAGGCGAAAAGCGGGCGTCTCAAGTAGCGGTTTCACTTTAAGATTTAGTGTGTTTCGTGCAGCCGGGGAGGCCGCATCATATAGTGCATTGCTCTGAATTAATTACCCACTACGGTTTCCAGATTTCCGAGGGTGCGCCGCGCAAGAAAAAGATGACCGAACGCCAGCCGTTGCTCCTGCAGAGCGATGCCTCCGACTACGAGGGCAGTCGAGGATCGTCGGCACGACCCGTGCGCAGCTCTCCGCCGGACAACACGCTGGTCAACGTGCACAGCGAGGACAGCCTAGCAGGTGAGTTTGTAACCCGGTTTCAGAATTATCATTCTTAAAAAAGACATTTAATAAAAATTAAAAATTGTAACAAAATTAAAACATGTTTCTTTAAAGTTTTACCTACAAGAGTGACACATTTAAAAAAAAATCATTTTCGAAATATACGAATTTAATGTTTTTAAGCGCCATATGTGTTTTAGCCAAGCGATCATACCCTAACATTTCGAACTCTCGGTATACTTAAGATTAGACGAATATATTTTTACATAGAATATTCATAGAATATTCATAGAATAATATCAACTCAAAAATTATGTTTTCATCTAACCCTTGTATTACAAATATATTAAACTGAAAGTAAATGATTGGGTTATCCAATAAAGTTCTACAAAGAAAATGAATTATTTTGATATTGACATGTTTCACAAAACCGCAAAACATTGGCAGGCCGTAATCAAATGCTTATTCATTTTTTAGATAATTCTAAATTAATCATCGTTTTTCTGTTTCAATATCAATTCTCTATAATTATAACAGCCAGTAATAGGTGCCTATTTATAGAGTTAACTTTTGATTACTTTAACCAATTATTATTTTAAAACAACAATAAATGCATTGCAACTATATTTTCGACTAATTTTAAATATTTTATGCGCAAAATTAGAACAATTTATTTTCCATTGGTAGTGGGTGAAATTTAAGATATTTAAATATTTTTTCGATAAAATCAAACTTATATTTCTCTCGATTTTTATCTGTGAGTGCACGCAGCAGCCTCGGGATCGGGAGACGATGAACGCGGAGCCACGGACAAGTCCAGCTACAACCCCACCCATCATCGCACTCTGGAGCATCCGACGTCCAACTTCGACACCCTGGTCCATCTGCTGAAGGGCAACATTGGCACGGGCATCTTGGCCATGCCGGATGCCTTCAAGAACGCCGGCCTCTATGTGGGACTCTTTGGCACCATGATCATGGGCGCCATCTGCACCCACTGCATGCATATGCTGGTCAACTGCTCGCACGAGCTGTGTCGGAGATTCCAGCAGCCTGCTTTGAACTTTTCGGAGGTGGCATACTGTAGCTTTGAATCTGGACCCCTGGGCTTGAGGAGATATTCGATTCTGGCCCGACGGATCGTTACCACGTTCCTGTTCATAACCCAAATCGGTTTCTGCTGCGTCTACTTTCTGTTTGTGGCGCTGAACATTAAGGACGTCATGGATCACTACTACCAGATGCCCGTGCAGATCTATCTACTCATAATGTTGGTGCCCATGATCTTGTTGAATCTGGTGCGGAACCTCAAGTACCTGACGCCCGTGTCGCTAGTGGCCGCTCTTCTCACTGTGGCCGGTCTGGCCATTACCTTCTCCTACATGCTGGTGGATCTGCCCGATGTGCACACTGTGAAACCTGTAGCCACCTGGGCCACGTTGCCCCTGTACTTCGGAACCGCCATCTACGCGTTTGAAGGGATTGGCGTTGTCCTGCCGCTGGAGAACAACATGCGCACCCCCGAGGACTTTGGCGGAACCACCGGTGTTCTCAATACGGGCATGGTAATCGTGGCCTGTCTGTATACAGCGGTCGGGTTCTTCGGCTACCTGAAGTACGGCGAACATGTGGAAGGCAGCATAACCCTAAATCTGCCGCAGGGCGATACGTGAGTTCCAAAACTTTCCATTCCTAATCGCGACTGGTTTTTAAGAAAGAGGATTAAATATCAGGGACCGTAAATAATCGTTATTTGAGATTTTTATATTAAAAGGCCTACTGAGATTTGTACAAGTGTTAACAATTTAACTGGTTTTTTGCACTTTATAGACATGAAAAAATAGCAGTTTATTTGCTTTCTAGATTTGTTGACATGCATATAATTTTTGAACAAGTTTTCGACCTTTTAAAACTAAATATCACAGTAGTCTTTATACCCGTTACTCGTAGAGTAAAAGGGTATATTAGATTCGTGCAAAAGTATGTAACAGGTAGAAGGAAGCGTTTCCGACCCCATAAAGTATATATATTCTTGATCAGGGTCACTAGCCGAGTCGATCTAGCCATGTCCGTCTGTCCGTCTGTCTGTCCGTCTGTCTGTCTGTCTGTCTGTCTGTCTGTCTGTCTGTCTGTCTGTCTGTATGAACGCTGAGATCTCGGAAACTATAAAAGCTAGAAGATTGACATTTTGCATGCAGATTCTAGGAGTTCCTACGCAGCGCAAGTTTGTTTCAAAAGGGTGCCACGCCCCCTCTAACGCCCACAATCGCTTATATACGATTTTAAAAGTTTCAATATTTTGGAAAAGTAAAAATGCAGTGTTATTGTGTTTATCAATACCTATCGAAATGTAGAAGAAATTTTTTAAATCGGACCATTCGTTAAAAAGTTACGGCGGATCAAAGTTTTTCTCCATCTCCTTCGCACTCCCTTTAGCTGAGTAACGGGTATCTGATAGTCGGGGCACCCGACTATAGCGTTCTCTCTTGTTTTAAAATTAAAATCTCAAATTACGATTATTTACGGTCCCTGTTAAATATTCTTTATCTGAAAATAAGCTGCCTGGATTAACCTATATTCTTCAGCTTTCATTTAAAGCAATATTTAAAGTATTTCCACAATATTCAGCCAAATTAAATACCTTTAATTAACCAATATTTTTTCCTTTCTGTTTAGACTCTCTCAGTTGGTCCGCATCTCCATGGCCGTGGCCATCTTCCTCTCTTATACACTTCAGTTCTATGTGCCCGTGAACATCGTTGAGCCTTTTGTGCGTAGTCATTTCGATACCACGCGGGCCAAAGATCTTTCGGCCACAGTCTTGCGCGTCGTTCTAGTCACCTTTACCTGTAAGTATCCTAAAAACCATCAAAAATTCTCTAATAACACTGTACTTTTTCTAATAGTTCTCCTCGCCACCTGCATTCCCAATCTTGGCTCCATTATTTCGCTTGTTGGAGCCGTGAGCAGCTCAGCTTTGGCCCTGATTGCGCCACCAATAATTGAAGTTATCACCTTCTATAACGTTGGCTACGGTCGCTACAACTGGATGCTGTGGAAGGACTTTCTCATCCTGATCTTCGGACTCTGTGGCTTCGTCTTTGGTACCTGGGCCAGCTTAGCTCAAATCTTAAACGACACCACCCATTAAGATAAAAAAAAGAGAAGAGCAAAACAAAAACAGAACCTGGCTAGTTCTGGTTCTGCCTACAAAATGTGTGCGAATTTATGACCGAAGGCTTTATGTAGTTTCTCCCAGACTACGAATATGTTTACCATTAGTTGTTTAACTATTCGACACCAGTGGTGGTGCTCTAGTTTGTTTAATTTATTATTATCGCGAATTAGTTGCATTTTTTTTTGTTATCAATTAGCTGCAATCGTACCAGACAATAACTAGCATTTTAAGTAGAAAGTTTTACGATATATCTGTTTGTTCAGTTTTGTCAGTTGGAGAATATTTCTGTGTTAACTCGAGGACCGCACAATGCCAAAAGTGATTTTACGTAGTATTCTTAAATAAATTATTATTTAGCTTTTACTATGTAGCCTAGGTTGGGGCAGATCATTCCAAAGCAATTGCTGAGAATTTCCCAAAACCGAGATTAGCTAAAGTTATCTGCATACTTTTATCGTTCTTATATTTGTAATTATATATGTATAGGTACTCCACATACCGTATTGGGTCCCCAAATCTCGACCTCCGATACAATATTGTAAATACATCAATTCGGTGTATCAACGTATGTTCTTTAATGGTTCAACGGATAACAAAAGACAATAATTAATATAATGTTTATAAAAATCAGTACCACAAATTAAGTGTTTAGTGTTTCTACCATTGAATAGCCACTGGAACAGGGAGTCCATTGGAACTTAGCACTTGCAGTGGACTCGAGGAGAGCAGAATCAATCCTTGTGCTTGTGGACGACTCCTGATCTGCTTGGTCAGACGAGCGGGGCCTTGCTGAATGGGCTGAACTTCCTCTGCATCCGGATCGGGAGTGAAGTCCTGGGGCTCCTCATCACTGGGCAACTGCTCCACTGCATCGGTGGGCGGAGGTCCGTAGGTCAGATCCGGAGGCCCATAGGTCTGATCGGGAACTCCTTCTTCGAATGGAACCTCGGGCTTCAGTTCCTCCGCGGATGGGTAAGGTGCCGCCTGCTGTTTCTGTAGCTGTTTTGCTAACCTCGCAGGTTGAGCTGAAATGGCTCCAAGTGCCAGGATCAGAACCAGCAGGGAACTGTAAGACTTTAGGTTTCTGCACATATTGCTTTCGATAGTAAAGATAACCGAACTGATGGTGGAATCGTTTATGATTGATAACTTGCTGTTCGCAACCTGACTTTTTATACATATGTTTCTCGGGAACTACGTGTTTGTTTTAATAAATTTTCGGTGGTATAACTTGGTCATATGGTTAATGACTGGGTCACCAATGGCCCTAGTGGGCCTTTGGAGTTGTCGTCAATGTCACGTTGCAGGTCCGCCGACCAAAACGGGAAATCAATCAACCCATTAATTTCAATGTCAATGTTAGCCGCACAACATAAATATAAAAATTAAACTTAGAAAATATATAATAATATAGTAAAATAAATAAATATAATCTAATACATTTTTAAATTAATATTAAAAGTAATAAACGTAAAAATGTAAACGTAAATGTAAAATAAACGTCAAAAATATCAAGTTATAAGCGAATATTTCAGTTATCTTCCGTCGCGGCTCCCTTAAAATTCCCAAGTGGTTATTCCGCAAAGCGTGCATTTAAAAGGCGGCGAACAACACAGGTAACCGTGTTGTTTGGAAGGAGAGCAAGTTAGCACTCCCCTAGACAAGGATGGAACACATAAACGGGCGGCTGGCACAAGACAAAGCCGCCCACAATTTTTTTTGTTACCTGCATTTCCTAACTTGTTTTTATTGTTTCTAATAAAAACTTTCTATTATACAAAAATATATAAGAAAAGAGAAACAATAAATATTATCAACTAAGATAAGAACGTTTCCAATGTAAGTTTAATACAACTTATATTTTGATATTTAAAACGGATATTTTTATTAAACCATAATTGGTTATTCCATATGTATAAAAATATATGCTGCAGTTGAATAAAAATTTATATACTACTATACTTTCTTAAATTTGGAAGCCCTACTTGTCTACATAAAAGCTTTCTTGTCAAGTGGTAAAAATGATAGAGGAATCAAATAAACAATTAATTTTGATGGAAACTAATCATTAAGTAATTTAAATAACTGATACCATCTAAGGTCAATGATATTCATTCTATCTGCTACGATTAAAATGATTATGTTGGCCTTAGAAAAGGATCATATTGTAATCTCTTGACACAATCTAACTTAGGATCCGCCTTTTTTCTGTGCCAAATAGAGACTGAAGGTGGGATCTCTACTGGAGGCACTGCTTGGAAGATATGTGAAGAAAGTGCGACGAAGTCCGGAGCTGTTGTAGGTGCGCAGATTGTGCTGCGCCTGCCAGCAGAGTCGGGTTTGCTTGAGGATAATCTGGAGGACTTCCTCCCGGAACGATTTCTTGAACTTATTAGCCGCAACCATAATATCTTTATACTGGGCAAAGGGGTCGGGATTTTGTCGGACCGTCCGGGGATCTACATTAGCCATCAGCGGAATCAATTTCTTTTCCATCTCCGGCAGATTCTTCACCTTCTGCCTGAGCTTCTCTGCCTCCACATCGGTTAGCGGGCCATATCGTTTGCCATATCTCCTCCGAATCCACTCTCGTAGCTCCGGTATCTTATGACCATCGGGAAGACCGGCCAGAACGAGTCTTCTATCGCGTCGTAATATCTTAAAAGCATCGTTTAGCATCTGATCCATGAACTCTTCGTCATCGGGATCGATTCGCTTGTGGTGATAGACGAGGCGTTCCGTGGAATTCTTTGGCGTAACCAGGTTCGGAACCGACAGCAAACTTTTCTCGAAGATTTTTCTCACACATCGGGAGACCGCCTCGTTGATGTGGCTGCTTCTAATGGTCCTGGGTAACCTTCTTTCCTTCACCTCCACATCATCGAGTGCTTTGACCAAGGAATTCCCAATGAATCCTTTGGTATTCAACGATTGGTTACTGCCCTCTTCAAATATTCTTGCATAGTTGAAGGCATAGGGTCTGTGTCTTCCGGGTGCCGTAAAATATTCTGGTTGTGTTTTTAATGTCTTATCTTTCTGGAACTCTCGGTTGACATCCTCCCCCGCGCAAAGCCGCATCCTGGGCCCACTCCTGTCGTACAGACGTCCCCATTCACCTTCCAGGAGGAGAACCTGCGGAGGAGTCTCCAGGCTCACGTGGACCAGTTTGTTGCAGGCGGCACAGCCTGTTTTTCGAAAGGCAGGAACTCCGGGACTCCAGCCCTTGTCGCCGAACTTAAGAAGGTACTCATCCACGTCCCGATTCAGGTGCTTTATAATCCGCTCCCTTGTGAGCTTTTTGGAGGAAAAGTAAATGTAAACTTAGCATCCCATAAATATTTATTATTCTTTAAATTTTAAAAATAAGAATAAAAGCATTTTTTTTAAGCTTACTCATAAATATATATTATTCTTTACATTTTAGGAATGAGAAATATATATTTTTCTATTATAAGCTTTCTCTTTAAATCTGGTAATGAAAACTAAACCACTCACCCTCTTTTCAGTCCCTTCCACATCAATCATCTCCAGGTAACGTCGGCGCTGCTCAGCCAGAAAGGCCTGTCGCTCCAGAGATCTCTTTTCCTCGTGGAATTCACACAGATCCCTTGGATCCTGAGCTGGATCGTTGGGCGCCTCGTCTATTTGATCAAACAGATGGCAGAGCTCATGGTTGATAACCGCCTTAACTGTTCGTTGGATCGGATGCAATTGAAAATCGGCGAACCACCGGTCGTCATCCGCTCTGGGATCTCCCACCTCATTGGGAATCTGTACCTCAAAAAGCGGGGAATTCGAAGTTAAATGGGTTGATTGGCGGAATGATTTTGGGCGTGGCTGCTTCTGAAAGTAGGGCTTTACACTTTTCCCGGATTTTGGCAATTCTTTGTGTTGCGTTAGCTGTGAGGAAAGAACTTTGTCTAACGCTCGAAATGTGGCTGGCAGATCCAATGGCATCTGATCCTCTAAATCCTTTGGGGTGTTTGATTCAAAGACCGAGGGATTCGGTGTTGCGCAGGAAAGCCGCCGAGACTGCTTCTAATGAGGAAAAATATTTTTATAGGAAAAGAGATTGAGAATAAATATATTTAATTCCTACTCACAAAAAAAGCATGTCGTAGTAAAATCAATATGTGCATGTAAATTTCTGATAATGCACAACTATATCGTTTTTACATAAAATACCCACTTCGACCATATCAAATTTACCTGGTCTCATATAAAGTTAAAATTGATATTACTTAATGTAAAATCGATCTACGTTTCATATCGATTTTTTTCTGGGTGAAACAATATAAAAATGTTGACCTTAAAATCTCTAAGATCTTAATAACAATGTCAAATGTCATTTGTTAAATTTTTGTACATTTCGTAATCATGAGATAGATATATAAAAATTATATATCCTATAAAAATTTTTTCTGTGATTTCGAAAAGAGTGCAAAGAGCATACCAACCTTTTGCAGTTCTGGTGTCGCATTCGATTTACTGACACGATTTCCGCTAAGGGGCAGAACTTTGTCCAGTGCTCGAAAAGTGGCTGGCAGGTCCAGATAGGCGATGGCCGAGAGCAGGAGTTGTCCATTAACCGTGAATTTTTTACATGACCCACCGGAATCGTAATGTTCCTGGAACAGAAAGTAGAGAAAGGCCAGCTTTTGGCCGCGACTCAATTGCACAATCCTGAGAAGCTGGCGGTTCCTGACCAAAGGACGCAATCCAAGGCGCAGCAAGCAGTCGCGAATGCCACTGATATTGTATCCCAGTGCCGTTCCCAGGTCATCAGCCGCCTGCATCTGATCGATGGACAGTCCCCTATGCCAACTGGCCACCGGTAGATCCAAATCCGCTGCTGAGTTCTTAACCATGACCCCGGTAACTCGATAAATTTACAAAAAGTAAAGTAAACACAACAAATTTAAGAAACTATGGGAATTTTGTGAGTGCCACATAGGGATTTATAATCATTAGTGTTATGATTTGAGGGGGAAATTTCGATATATTTCTCAGGGCAGACTAGTTATGTGATCAAATATCATTTATTTCGATAATTCATGATCATAATGATTATAACTTTATTATATCGTGGTAATTTTCAAAAATGTGTGGTACTTTTTCAAAAATGATTATAACTTTATTATATCGCTGCTTGGTTTAAAGTTTAATGACACTTTTAATAAATTGAAAGTAGTTCTTATGTAAGATCGGTAAATTTCCATTCCTAGGCTTGGCATACGAACAATAACTTATCGATACAACTGGCTTTGTACATTTCCCTTCCAAAAGAGCGGACATTCACACAGTGATTGTGATAATATTTGGACTGGCCATATCCCCATTTGAAATAGTGTGCTTCTCTTCCGGATCGTGAAGAAAAGTATGGCCCATTATCTCCGCCCAGGCTGTAGATGTCCACCCAGTAGGAGCCGGAAGGGGCTCCTGAAAATATGTTTTCGAGATCCCTCTCATTTTTGATTGTCGCCAGGTGACCGCCCATTCGACGACACGTGTCAGCTGCGGAGTACCAACTCTGTCTACTTTGCTTTTCAATGTAAAAGTGCCCGGATCCTATCGGCTGGAAGACTGTCTTGTCGATCCTTTCAGAAGCCTTCATTTTATCCTTTTGGTTTACCAAAAGGTTTCGTAGCGATCGAAGTTGAGCCTCCAGATGGATTTGTAGCGCCAGCAATTGGCTTTCTACGGTCCTCCCCATCATATCAAGTTTCTGCTGAGTTTGAGCTCGCATTTGAGAGTCGTACGTGAACCAATTTTGCTGATTTGCAGCAATCTGATCTATTGTGATTGGGGTTTTCGCTACTTCTTGTTGTGCTGCATTTCCTATCCATAGATCCCAGGAAACCAGGACGTATAATAAATATGTGGCGTACTTCAACATATCGATGGTGCTTGTATGACCTATAAGAACCAATCTTTCTAACAAACTGGCTAAGGTGTAAATATTTTTTTCACAGGTAATAAACCGTAAGGAAAGATTTAGTTAAGATAATTATATTGTGACGAATATGATTATCTACTTAAACAACACAAGGCAACAAAGAATACATTTACCTTTAAGTATTTTTCGTCAAAGGATGCAATTTATAAAAAAGAAAGTATTTGAAATTCACGTTTTACATCAAAAATAGGTCATAATTTAAACGTGGGTGGAAAAAGGCGGCAATCTTTATGATAATAAATTTTTAACGTGTTAAATTCCATATTATCCTAGTCTTATTAAGCATTGTAAACCCAACCATTTCATCCAAAATTAGATTTTATTACCACTGTTCGGCCTGACATGCAAATAAGAACCTTTCAAAACAATCGTTATTATACATTACTGGTGGATATTTAAGCGTAAACACATCTACGCAGTTTTTGGGTATTTTGTTGGCTTGCCTTGTCCCCCACTTTATAAAAGTGGGTTCTCTTCCGGTTAGTGAAGAAACGTAAGCTCCGCCCTTATTGGACGTACGGTCCGCCAGGTTGTAGATGTCTATCCAGTAGCCAAGTGGAGGCAGGCCTCCAAATAGTGCGGAAAGTTCGGTATCATCTCGGATTGTTGCCAGGTGACCGCCCATTCTACGACATCTGCCATATGCTTCGTGCCAGTTCGCTTGGTGTCGCCTCTCGATATAAAAGCGCCTGTCGCCCACCTTCGTCGGAAAGAGATTCTCCTTGAGTTTATTGTACGTTTCCATGTTTTCCCTCTGGTATTCCGTAAGGCTCCGTAACACCTGAAGTTGATTTCGCATTTGTGTTTGGAGTGCCTGCAATCGACTTCCTAACTTGCCGATCGTTGCCTCAGTTTCAGTTTGCCTCTGGGAATGATATGCGAACCAACGTTGCTGATTTACAGCAATCTGATCCATTCTGAATTGTAGATTTTCCGGAGCAGTTTGATTGTACTGATTAACCTGATTTTGAGCATGAACTCTCCACAGATCACAAAAACCAAAGGAACACAATAAAAATGTTGCGTAAAACATTATAATGGTGAATATTCTGAAAGACTAAGTCTTTGTAATGAACTGCCGAAGGTTTTAACTATTTTTGTCACACCTCCTAAGCAGATAATATACCGGTAAAAAAATCGAGTTAAGAAATTAAATGTGTAACGAATATGTTTATCTGATTTTATTCATAAAGTAACATTCATTTAAATACCGGTTACTGGGTGTTCGGGAAAAGGATGTATCAGGTAGAAGTATTCGTTCTCTGTTGTTACTGGTTAATAACAGATTTTATTCCCATTGCTCAGCTTGGCATACAAAATGGTAATTAGTGATACAATAAGCATTTCTCATTTCATTTAAGTACACATTCACGCAGTGAAAGTGCGTATTAGACCAGTTGTTTTTTGAATTCCATTTTATATATGGGGGTTTCCTTCCAGTTAGTGAAGAAACGAACGGTCCGTTATCTTGAAACAGGTTGTAGATGTCTATCCAATAGCTTTCCCGAGGCGCACTTCCAAATAACCTGGTCAACTCCCTCTCATCTCGGATGGTCGCCAGGTGACCGCCGATTTGACGACAATAATCAAATGCGTGATGCCAGTTCACCTTGATTTGCTTCTCAATGTAAAAGTGCCTATCGCCTATCTTCGTCGGAAATAGTTTCAAGTTGACCTTGGGAGGCGATTCTTTTATTTCTTTCTGATATTCCGTCAGGCTTCGTAACTCCTGAAGTTGAGCTTCCATCTGAGTTTGTATTGCCTGTAATCGGCCTTCTAACTTGTCAATCCTTTTCTCCGTTTCAGTTCGTCTCAGGGAATTGTAGGCAAACCACTGTTGCTGGTGTACAGCAATCTGTTTAATTCTGTTTTGTTGATTCTGCAGAGCAGTTTGACACTGCTGATTATCCTGACTTTGGCCTTGGGCTCTCCACAGATCCCAGAAACCCAAGATGCACAATACATAGGTTGCGTACTTGAACATTTTTATAGTGTATATCTCGAAAGACTGAGTCTTTGTTATGAACGTTTGGTATTCTTTGTCACACCTCTCAGGGAGATAATAGACCGGTACAAAACCTCTCTAAAACCCTTACAAATTCAGTTATGAAATTTAAATTGCAACTAAATATGTAACAGAGCAGACTGTATCGTCTAAATAATTCCCACGGAAAAGTACTACAAGCTGGTACAAATCCCGCGAAATCTTTATAAGGTATTTTATTGTGGACCAATGGGTTACTTTTTTTAAATTAAAACCAAATGTTATTCTCAGCTTGACATACAAAAAAATACTTATCGAAACAATTTTCATTATACATTTCACGTACATATACATCCACGCAGTGAAAGTGCTTTTTTAAAGGCCGTGGTCCGTTTCTTTTCCATTTTATATATGGCGGGTTCCGTCCAGTTAGTGAAGAAACAAACGGGCTACCATCTCCAGCCAGGTTGTAGATGTCTATCCAATAGGCGCCCCCAGGCACATTTGAAAATATTGCCCTGAACTCTCTTTCATCTCGGAAACTCGCCAGGTGACCGCCCATTTGACGACATATTCCAAATGCGCGATACCAGTTCACTTGAACTTGCTTCTCAATGTAAAAGTGCCTGTCGCCTACCTTCTTCGGGAAGAGTTTCTCGTTGATCTTAGGGGGCGGTTCTTTTCTTTCTTTCTGATATTCCGTAAGGTTTCGTATCTCCTGAAGTTGAGCTTCCATCTGAGTTTGTATTGCCTGTAATCTGCTCTCTAACTTTTCAATCTTCTCCTGCGTTTCAGTTCGTCTCAGGGAATTGTAGGAGAACCACTGTTGCTGGTGTACAGCAATCTGATGAATTCGGGATTGTTGATTCTGCAGAGCAGTTAGACACTGCTGATTATCCTGACTTTGGGCTAGGGCTCTCCACAGATCCCAAAAACCGAGGACGCACAATAAATAGGTTGCGTACTCGAACATTTTGAACTTGAACTGTCGCACCAATGAAAGGAGGTATTAGACCGAAACCAACTAATCCGATTACCATACCATTATACCACCGAACAAATTGAATTTTTCAAACTTGTAAAACCGCAACTACATGGGTTATCAAACATCAAATTTTATTAGTCAGTGGAATCGGTGGGACATGGTGGATACCACTGCCAAAGGTTCCATGGAACGCATTTTCCTGTCTTGGGATCGAACCCAGTTTGGTCATCGCACGCCGCGAGCTCTGGTTCTCCGGCTCCGGCGCAAATCCAGTAGTGGGTGGGATCCCAGAAGTCACGGGAAACCTGTCCAGTGCGTCCCAAGCAGCTGTCGGGCTTTCCATCGCCATCAGGATTGCAGACATAATCCGCGTGGATAGCCACGAAAAGGGCCAGGAACAGAAGGACTACGACTGAAAGGAGGATCCCTGATGGGTAACTCTGGGTATCTCAAGGACTTGAGCTTACCTGCTTTCATTGTGCTATAGCTCTCTTCAGGTTATTAATACTGAATGACATCCGAGCCCAACGTTCATCATTTTATAGCACCCAGTTATCTATCCCAGAAATATTGTCTACGACTATCGGCATGACAAATTCTATTTCGGAACGAACATGAAATCGTTTAAAAATATCTGGTATCTATATCTCGACAATTGGCTAAGTTGACGGCATCAAGAAATCATAGAGAGATTGTAAGTTAGTAGATTTATATACAACAAATAATATTGGACTATTTATAAGATTTATATCAATATCTCTATCTATATCTATATAAGTCGGCAAAATAAAAATAAGTTTTTGTAAAAAGCCAGCACCAATATTGCGTACTGTCTATGCATTTCTTAAAAATACAAAATATTGAATATGTATGTATAATCCATGTCACTATGATATTTTTACCCGTTACGCGTAGAATAGAGTATGTGTCATATCTACTTTTAAATAAGTTAACAGGGTAACCGGTATCTGATACACTATAAAAGTGCACAGGTGTTATTTGCATCTTTGTTATAAGTTATATCTATGCGATTTTTTTTGTAGGTTAGCTAACGTTTAAAATAAATTACTAAAAAAACAATGGTGAGACCATAGTTACTATTGGACTGAATGTTCCTAATGTACCTTCGTTATTTTTAAAAATACATTATTATTTTAAATAATTACTAAGAAATAATGGTCCGTAAACTATAAGTCAACTGCATAGCTACACATAGAAGAAAATAGTCTGAAATTAACAAAATCATTCTTAAATTAAAAAAATTGAGAATTAAGAATAAAACGTTCTTTAATTAAATCGACCTTTTGCAGGTATCCAAGAAATAAAAGTTGTTTACTTAATTTGCCATTCAATTTTATTATTTTAACAAAATGTATTCAAATTAACAGTACGGAGACCAAGTCCAGTCGGACCAGGAGATGCACGTCTTCGATTCAGGGTCGAATGCTTGGTAACTTTGATCCACAGTTCCATTCTTCAAAAACCGCTCACACTTAACAACTTGAGGGTCGGGGGAGCTAGTGGAGTTGCATAGCCAGTAACGGGTAGGATCCCAGAAGTTACGAATGGGGACGTTCAGGTTGGTGGAGTTGGTGCAGTCGGGCTCGTTGTCGGTGAAGGGATCGCAGATATATTCGGCGCCATAAAGAGCCATGAAGAGCGCAAGGCAAACACAAATTAGAGCTAAGGATCGGAGTAGAGAGGCTCTTTAGAATATGATATCCTTGCCGGAATCCTTGCAGCTGACTTACCTCCTTTCATGGTTGCGGTGAGTAGTGACTGCTTCCGTGAATGTGTTTTGACTGGGCCGATTCGCAAGTTTATATACCTCAGGCCTCCACTGATACCGGCTTCCAATAATAACAGTTATCTCCGCCGCCGGGAAGCCTGTGCGAAATTCTATTTTGGCAGTGACATGAAATCGTTTGAAAGTAATCGCACCGTGTATCGCCGACCTTATCTGCATTGCTCGCACTGCTCGCGCCCCTAAGTTCAGTTGACGCAATACCCTGATAAGATGCGGGTCTTGAAGAGGTCATGCAGTCTGCGAAACTCAAGGAGTTTGAGAACCCATCATTAAGTCATATTCTAAACGAAGATATTGGTTCATAATCCCTTAATTAGATTGGATTTTTATAGATTTTTTTAGATTTTATATTTAATAGCCAAGTTAAAGAAGGGAACCCCATTTCTTATCGTGTGAACAACTCAACTGAGTCAACAGCTTGACGCCATTTAACTTAACACTTAAGTTTTGCAAAGGTAATGGAGGGTGATAGATTTTATTTTAACTAGATTAAGTTCCTTGGCTATATACTCACCCGATTGTTTAGCATTTAAAATTCACACACTTATCATTAACACGTAGTAGTGTTTATACAATCTTGAAAGTTTTCTAAAGGGTTAAATGTCTGTTATTATTCGGTTTGGTTATGTATAGCAGGGGCATAGCCAGGATTTAAATTGGGGGTCAAATTTTCTCTACAAATTTTGTGTAGCATACTTTTGAAACACATATTTTGCCCCTGTTTATATATATTATTTCATTTTATAATCTTTAGAGATTATGGGGGACCTAAAGATGATCTGCGAAGCCCTAGGAGGTGCCATGGTTCCAGCAGCCGTAAAATCGGTCCAAAAATCCCAACCAGCTGAACGTCAAAACGGTAGGGTTACTAACTCAAAGGATCCCAGGATTGAAAATATTATCAAAGTTGGGGGAGCTTGAACCAATGTCACGGGAACCTAGAAACTCTATCGATCTGCCAGCCGCATACAAACGAAAACCCAGCTTTTTGGAAACGGTTCGGTTATCAACAGTAATGCCGCCAGATACAAGTAGTGATGAGATGCCTTTAGCTGGGGTAGTTGAATATAAGATGCCTTCTGATCTGCCTAAAGGTTGTTTCCGCGTCGGAAAAGAGGAAAAGAGCTAGTCCTGTCCCACCAAGATCATATCCCAAATTCTCTGCACGCAAATCTTCGGCCAATAAGCAAGCCTCTTCTCGAATTGCAGCCAAAGATTTCCGGGGTTCCTTGATTAGAAGGAGGTTGCTCATGGAATCAGTTCCGCCACCAGTTGAAAATGAAGCAACTTCCAGTCCCACGATCCCTAACCAAACAATTTCGGTTAAAAATCAGTCGAAGGATCCCAGTTTATCCACAGTCGAAAGTCCCTTGAAACCATTAAAATCTCCTTTTCCATTATACAAATGCCGACCCTTCTTTGTTTAGCTACATTGAAAGTCTTCAATCAAAACGTGTACTTATAGTAAACTAGTATCTCTAACTAAATAAAATAAATAACCATAAAAGAGGGGTAACCGAAGAATATAAATTATTTTTATAATATTTCTTTTACTAAGAATAACAAAATATTTGACTTTAAGCCTAGTTCTAAGCAGTTACCTTATAAATTCTATAAAAATGGAAAACATTTAGTAATAATAACACTCAATTAAAGCCCACTGTTCAGCTTAAGTGACCCTCACTCAATAACTTATATTACGCGAATTCTTAAGCTTCGTGCTATCAAATTCTTCTTAGGCTCCACAGTTTTGCCGTAACGCAGCTTTAGTTAAGTTACTGGCACTATTACCCAATTACATATCTATAAGTTCTACTCATTTTGCCATTTTAACAACAAGGTCGTAGAGCGACACACATTACTGATTAGATTCAATAATATTGGGCTTAAGATAACTGCGGTGCAGTGTAAGTGCGAGGAAAAGTATTCGAAACCGGCAGCACGATTGGCTTAGATTAAGTGACATGTCGTGATAAGTGCAGAATGTTTCATATTTAATTTAACTGTTTCGCGGAGATAGCGAAATTCCGCGAAATACCAGCGCAATTCCCAATAAGCAGATAAGGTGACACGTTTCCAGAGACATCCATTTTTGCAATCGGGTGGCGTCTGCCGGAAGCACAAGACATCAGGCGTCTCCATTTTCGATCGTTTTGCATCTCTATTTTAAAATTGGACATACATCTAATGAATTGGTCATGTTTTTCGCGTAATGTTGCTGCCGTTTTGCCGGTTGCAGCCAACAGGAACGGTGATAATTTCTTAACGATTCTTAGCTGCGCTGCGATCTTTCATCATTTCGAATAAGTACGGTGGGGGGTTCGAGTAGTTTCTCTCGGGCTTTCCGCTGTCACTGCGAACCCTCCATACAAGTATTATCATTGTGAAATGCACTTGAAACAAATTTCTTATAAATATATTGAATTAAAATATTCACTTTATGTAAAATGATAATGAGTACACTCAAAAAAAAATCGATATGAAACATAGATTGATTTTACATTATTTAAAATCAATTTTAATTTGATATGAGGTCAGGTAAATTTGACCTGGTCGTAAAAGAGTATTTCATGTAAAAATGATATGGGTTTGTGAAATTTACATGGACATATCGATTGCATGCTTTTTTTTGTGTGTATAATTTTTATACCCGTTACTCGTAGAGTAAAAGGGTAAATTGTAAAAAGGGTATATTTAAGATATATTACGGAACCATTAATAATATAGTGGTATACAAAATCTGTATTTGCCTTAAAGTAATTATGTAAATATGTTTTATTAGTTATTTGTTTTTATTTTATTTAGAAAGATAGATCCTTAGTTTTTTTGTTTGGTTGTATATATAAGTTTTGAGTATTAAGGGAATTTTACACTAGTTTTATTTTCAGTGAATTTATTGTTCAGTTGAGTCTAGCATTGTCGAATCCCAGAGAGGTGCTCGCTTAGACGAAACCTGCCAAGGAAAGTGAAATTCCCCGCGAGACTGGCGCAACTGAATGGACGCAGCGAAGCGCACACTTTTAGGCCCCAATTGCACAGCACAAATTGTCGCCAGTCGCCTGCAAAATCCCTCAGAGTCTTTTATAAAGTCGATGACATGACGCCGGCGAGCTTAGTCATCATGTTCGCCAGCAAACGGAAGCTTCGGATCGCATTGGACCTCATCCTCTGGACGAGTCTGGCGGTGGCTCAAAATGCCAGCGAGGAAGGGGTCAGCGATCCGGTGGGAAACCTGAAACTTGAACTGGCGGGTTCGGCTACAGCCAAGAGCTTCGAACCACCACCTGAATTCTACAGGGGTCCAGGCTCAGGACAAGGCTCTCAAACGAGTCCTTCGAGTGGTTCCAGCAGTCATCCCTCGCTGGGAAGTGTGGGCGAAAGTCTCAGTGAAACCTATAGTAAGTGGCGAGCTGGAGGTGCCAGTCTTCAGGATCGGATCAGTGTGGGTGAGTTTTAATGGATAAAGAAGTCATATATTTTTTCAATGCAGGAAGGTAGATTTTTAAGAATATTTGGGGACTTTTCCAAATAAAAAAGTTTAAAAAAAAAAACACAGACTTACAATACAAGAAATATTATGGTCCTGGTCCTTCCTACGGGTAGATCGATTTTACAATAAAATTGTAAAATTTTAAATGGTATTGTAAGTCTGTGGTTTTTTTAAAAAACTTAAAAAAAAATGGAAATTTTTTACATTATTTAAGATCAATTTCAATTTGATATGTGGCCAGGTAAATTTGACCAGGTCGAAAGGGGTATTTCGTGTAAAAACGATATGGATTTTGCATGGCCATATCGAATTTACGGGAACATGCTTTTTTTGTGTGTACAGATCCTAAAACTAAACGGATTATTTTCCCAAATACAGGTCACTATGGAGCCGGAGGAGGAGTGGCATCGCATGCACCGACCGTTGGAAGTTTTGAAAGTAACTCCCATCCCTATCCCTACGAATACTCCCACAACAGCGGAGGAGGAGGAGCTGCAATTGGAGGTGTTGGAGGAGGTGGAGCCTATTTCGGCAGCTCGAGTGTGGAGGCGGGTATTCCATTCGATGTGTATGGATCACGTCCGGGTCACGGTGCCAGTCATGGTCACTACTATTCCCCACCTGAGTATGTGCATCCGTACCCACTGGATCCACACGAGTTAGCGGCTCACAAGGGTCCCGGTCACGGCGACGTTTCATCCAAAGCCCTGCTGGCCAAGAGCTTCCTAATCCCGCTGGCCAGTGCTGCAGTGCTGGGAATCGCCGCCGCGTTGGTCAGCAATCCACTTCTCCTCCAATTGGGCACTGTTTCTGGACTGGGCACCATCGTCGGCAAGCGCAAACGACGTGCAACAAGTCGAAATCTACTTACAAATAAAGCCCATAAATACACTTTATAAATATGCCATTCATAAACGAATTAATGGAAAATAAACATTTGTCTTCAATGAATCTGTATCGATAAGTACTAATCCCTGATAAGATTTTATTTAAAAGAAGTAACATATTTGTGCAAACAGAACTTCGGACTGTTGAAAAATGCGTATCATTTGATAGGCTTTAATCCGAAAAAAGACCGCTGAAAAACGTAATCACTACAAAAATAAAAAATTAATCAGTGGTCGATCTTCAGTTCTTCCCCCTATAAAAAAAAACCTTCAGAAAACATTTATATTTTGTTGTTTTAAGTTGAAAGCTTAAATTTTAAACTCAAGCTATTTTTGTAGATAAATTCTTTTGCATTTGTTTCTTAGCACAAAATATTGTTAAATAATATATTAATGCATGCTATATATTTTATTCAAATGTATTTTTAGCGCTTATAATTTTTATATGCGTTTTCAGGACGGTTAAACTTTTCCATATTCAAAATATAATAATTAAAACGTAATTGTTCTTAAAGAAGAGGGCCGTTTCCTCGTGCTTAGCGGCCAACCAATTTAAATATTCGCAATATTATTGAATAGTATTAAAGGAGAAGCACATATGTACTTGATTCATAAAGTCCTTTAAATAAAAACTCAGATTTAATATTTGTGTTTGAATAAATAGTATTTCTAAGGACGGTTTATCATAGGTCATTAAAGCCTTTTTTTAAGATTCATTTTAGGTTTGGTAACCAATAGAGCTTAAAGCTACCTAATACCAAGTATAAATAGTAGAAAAATATCAGTCTTATAGAATTCAGGAAGAAAGGACGGTTCACCAGCATACAGACTTTTCCTGGAGAATGTTGTCATGGATGCGTTGCGCCAGAAATCTGTAAATATAAACCTTTCTTAGAAAGGATTCCCCAAATTCAATGATTCTTTACAAACCTCATTGCGTGCGAGGGCACAGCAGCTACGAACAGCAGAAACAAGACATTTCCCAGCTCATCCGTATGGGCATAGCACTTGTGATAGTCCGAGCAGCTATATTGGTCCACCAAAAGAGTCTTATTGCTCGACGACTCTCCTTCAAATTGATGCAGTGCATCCATGGTCTGATCGAAGAACTTCTTAAGAATGTCCAGGCGCTGCAGGTCGCCGACAATGATGCGCTTAACACTAGCCGACTGGTTGAGATTCCTGGTGAACAGACTTTTCCGTGAGTGTCGGTTTACCAGAATGATGGCCAGCACACTGCCATCGATGTCCAGGTGCTCGGGCAAACTGCGCGGCACACAACGCTCAGCGGCGGCCAGTAGGTTGCTCTCATTGCGATAGGCACTCATGGCATGCGCATGGAGCTCTCGAAACGAGGCATTTTCAGCGCCACACAGGACACACAAGGCACTATTAGATGCCACGGGAATGCTGACAAATCGGTAGGCTATGTGGGGACTCTTAACGGGCAGATAGACGGGCACATCGTGCTGCAAAGTGCTCGATGAGTTGAGCAGGAAGAGGAGGAGTTCCCGATCGCGAGTGTCCAGATCCCACCAGCCCTCGGTGGCCACGGCGATTCGGTGACCCACCACCAGGCAGCAGAAGAGCGAGCCGCAGTGACCACTGAACTCATTGAGGCACTGCAGCAATTGGGCATTCTCCGCCGCCAGCAGGCAGTCCGTGTAGCCCAGGAGCTGGGTGCCCGCGCAGGCCGCCTCCAGAATGGCGTCCACAATGGGCACATACTTCTTGGCGTCCTTCTTCAGCCGCTCCAGCAACGTGGCATGCGCCATTTCCGCGGCCCGGGTGATGAACATGCCGATGGCCCCGAAAACGAGATCCGCCAGCGTCTGGAGCAGCTGCTCCGAGCCCACGCCGCAGCCGCAGACGATCAGGGTGATGGCGTCGCTGTCCCGCCAGATGTACGTCCACTCCTCGGCGTCCGCGGGAGCCAGATTCTGGCTGGGCTGCTGTTTGCTGGTCGTCGTGGCCTCCAGTTGGATGCCCAGCGATTTGAAGAACATGTGAAAGCCGTTGAGGGAGGCCACCGTGGAGAAGGGTAGCTAAATAGGGTAGGGGGGTTGATCACTAGCCGGATTAAAGAAGTAACTATGACTCTTACATTTTCGCATTCTCCCTTCTTTCTTGTAAACACGGGCAAGCCGCCATTTGTCGTCAAACATAACAAATAAATAGACATTGCAGCTCTTCTTCTTTTCAAAACATGCAACGTAGGAGGTTAATCGAGTGTTCTTAGAAGTTATCGAAAAACATCGATATTTTAAAATCTATCCATATTCGATTGTTGAAATACTGATCGGCTAATAAATTTATACCGAAAATAACATAAATTAAATTTTTTCTAAAGATAAGATTGTATTTTTAAAAAAACCTAAAGCAGGACCCGAAATTTATTGAGCTCTGAATTCATCAATTGTAATATATATTAATGTACGTATAGTCTAATGTATTGATAAGTATTATTAAAATTAAATTGTATGGTAACTTATTTAATTAATTTAAACCCCATAGGCTTTGAACAATCCAACTTTACTTGCCCCAATTATTTAATCCATGCGTTTAGCCATCGATAACTATCGATCGCTCTGCATGCAAGTCTGCGCACCAGGGCCGCATACCTTGTTTTCACCAACCGCAATACGGCCACACCGCACTTACACAAATTGCATTTCGCATTGTCCGTCGTCGTCGTTTTCTCACGCTGCTCTTTTCTGGAATCGGAAAAAGGTAAGCTGGATAAGTGAATTGCATGGTTGTGATTGCTAATTACGCTCCGCGCCGTCGCTGGCGATCGCGGAAAGCCCCAAAAAGTGCAAAATGCCGCCGCAGTGGCTGGTCGCATTTGCGGCGGCGATGCGTTCGCCTGTGCCTGCCTGCTTGCGTGTGTGTGTGTGTGGTGTGCCGAGCGCTCGCTTGTATGTGTGCGTGTGCGAAAAAGTGTAAGCGCGCGCAGGCAGTAAGCGTGCGCTTGTAGTTGTAAGTGTGTTCCAAAAAAATGAAATTGGAAAATAGAAAATAAATATGGTTGCCTGTCGGCCGACAGGCGGACGCAATACGCAATATGTTTTAACTTCAAGAACGATCTAATTCGCAGCTCCAGGTCCAGTCCCGGCACCAGATCCAGATCCCGATCCGATCCAGATCGAGAGTCGCCGCTCCTCACCGTCATCACAGAAGAAGAAGAAGAAGAGCAGAAGCCGCCGCACACCTCCGTCACTACAACAAAAGAAAGAAGAAGAAGCCGAAGAAGAAGAGAAAAAACAACAAGAAGAAAGTAAATTACATATAAAGGAAATTCGAGAGGAGAAATTCGAGAAAACCCAGCTCACCAGGCGGCGGCGGAGGAAGCCAAGAAGCTATCAAGATTAACGCGGATACCACTGCCGAGCGACGCAGGCGCGAACGCCGCTTCTTCTACCACATGGCGACCGTGTTGACATCGGACGAAGCGAGCAAGATGCTCGACTTCACCCAGAAGCTGGACATCAATCTGCTGGACAAGATCGTCGAGACGGTGTACACAGCGCAGGGTGAGCAGCTGCGCCTCGCCCAGAGCATACTGACCACGCTGAAGGAGCATCCGGAGTCGTGGACGCGGGTGGATAGCATTTTGGAGTACTCACAGAACCAGCGGACCAAGTTCTATGCCCTGCAAATTCTCGAGGAGGTGATCAAGACGCGCTGGAAGGTGTTGCCGCGCAACCAATGCGAGGGCATCAAGAAGTATGTGGTCAGTCTGATCATCAAGACCTCCTCCGATCCGAATGTCATGGAGCAGAACAAGGTGTATCTGAATAAGCTGAACATGATATTGGTGCACATCCTGAAGCGCGAATGGCCGCGCAACTGGGAGACGTTCATCAGTGACATTGTGGGTGCCTCGAAGACAAACGAAAGCCTCTGCATGAACAACATGGTCATTCTGAAGAACCTCAGCGAGGAGGTCTTCGACTTTTCGCAGGGCCAAATCACGCAAACGAAGGCCAAGCATTTGAAGGACACCATGTGCTCAGAGTTCTCGCAGATCTTCAATCTCTGCTCCTTCGTCCTGGAGAGCTCCATGAACGCCGCCCTCATCCACGTCACACTGGAGACCCTGCTGCGTTTCCTCAACTGGATACCGCTGGGCTACATCTTCGAGACGCCGCAGATCGAGACGCTGGTCTTCAAGTTCCTCAGCGTGCCCATGTTCCGCAATGTGACCCTGAAGTGCCTGTCCGAGATCGCCGGTTTGACGGCGACCAATTACGATGAGAATTTCGCGACGCTCTTCAAGGACACGATGGTGCAGCTGGATCAGATCGTTGGCCAGAACATGAACATGAATCACATATTCAAGCACGGCACCGATACGGAGCAGGAGCTGGTCCTCAATCTCGCCATGTTCCTGTGCACCTTCCTCAAGGAGCACGGCAAGCTGGTCGAGGATGCCAAGTATGTGGACTACCTGAACCAGGCGCTCATGTATCTGGTGATGATCAGCGAGGTGGAGGACGTGGAGGTGTTCAAGATCTGTCTGGAGTACTGGAACAGCCTGGTGGAGGATCTGTACAACTCGGAGTTTTTCCACCCCACGCTGGAGTCCTCGAAGCGGCAGCAGGTGTATCCCCGTCGACGATTCTACGCCCCCATCCTGTCCAAAGTGCGTTTCATAATGATATCGCGCATGGCCAAGCCGGAGGAGGTGCTGGTGGTGGAGAACGAGAACGGGGAGGTGGTGCGTGAGTTCATGAAGGACACCAACTCGATAAATCTATACAAGAACATGCGCGAAACGCTCGTCTTTCTCACCCATCTGGACTCTGTGGACACGGACCGCATCATGACGCTAAAGCTGTTGAATCAGGTGAACGGATCGGAATTCTCTTGGAAGAACCTGAACACGCTGTGCTGGGCCATTGGTTCCATATCCGGTGAGCGATTTTCTGGGGTTTTCTTTTTATAAATCAAGGTTTAACAATTCGTTCTCTCGTCGAATCAAATATATTTAGATACTGATATTTTCTTCACTTTACTAATATCAATTTCCTTCCCTTAGGTGCTTTTTGTGAGGAGGACGAGAAACGTTTCCTGGTCACCGTCATCAAGGATCTTTTAGGCCTGTGCGAGCAGAAGAAGGGCAAGGACAACAAGGCCATCATTGCCTCCAATATCATGTATGTGGTGGGCCAGTATCCGCGCTTCCTGCGCGCCCACTGGAAATTCCTCAAGACGGTGGTAAACAAACTCTTCGAATTTATGCACGAAACGCACGATGGTGTCCAGGACATGGCATGCGACACGTTCATCAAGATCGCCATCAAGTGCCGCCGCTACTTTGTCACCATCCAGCCGAATGAGGCCTGCACCTTTATTGACGAGATTCTCACAACAATGAGCAGCATCATTTGTGATCTGCAGCCGCAACAGGTAATAAATGATTTTATTGCATTTAAGTTAGAGCCCTGCGTTAATCATTCAATTTTTGTTTTATCATAAGATGCCATAAAAATGGCTGATTTGTTTATTTCAATTCTATGTGAAATAATTGAATGTTTTTCTAATTCATTTCGAATTGAATGAATGAATGAATAATTTTTATGAATTTTTTTGAATTTGCCAGATTTTTTTGTGCTTTCTTTTGAGAACAAAAAGTGGCAAATTTTTAACAAATCAATGTTAACTGCTTAGTAAATAAAATTCAGGCAGATTTAATCACAAAATTATGGGCCTTTCTTCTTCAAAAGAAATTGTCGTTTGAATTATTTCGGAATTCATGCCATTCATTCTATTCTATTCTATTAAACTCAAAATTCCAATTCATTTAATTCTATTAAATTAAAAATTCTAATTAATTCATTAAATCCATTCATGCAGGGCTCTATTTTAAGTATAAACACAGAAAGGCCATAAATATTTCTATTTTACCAAATACTCATATTTATGTTAACCCTTTTAGGTTCACACATTCTACGAAGCTGTCGGCTACATGATCTCCGCCCAGGTGGATCAGGTGCAGCAGGACGTGCTCATCGAGCGCTACATGCAATTGCCTAACCAGGTTTGGGATGACATCATATCCCGGGCCTCGAAGAACGTTGACTTCCTGAAGAACATGACCGCTGTGAAGCAGCTGGGCAGCATCCTCAAGACGAACGTGGCTGCCTGCAAGGCCCTGGGACACGCGTACGTCATCCAGCTGGGCCGCATATATCTGGACATGCTGAATGTGTACAAGATAACCTCGGAGAACATCATCCAGGCCATCGAGGTGAACGGCGTGAATGTGAACAATCAGCCCCTGATCAAGACCATGCATGTGGTCAAGAAGGAGACGCTCAACTTGATATCCGAGTGGGTGTCGCGCTCCAACGACAATCAGTTGGTGATGGACAACTTCATACCGCCTTTGCTGGACGCTATATTGCTAGATTATCAGGTAGGGTCCCTATATTACCTATATAAGATAAATTATAACTAAGTTAACTCCTCTTTTTTAGCGCTGCAAAGTTCCATCGGCACGCGAGCCAAAGGTTTTGAGTGCGATGGCAACCATTGTGCATAAATTGCGCCAGCATATCACAAATGAAGTACCAAAAATATTTGACGCCGTCTTCGAGTGCACGCTGGACATGATCAACAAGAACTTTGAGGACTTCCCCCAGCACCGGCTCAGCTTCTACGAGCTGCTGCAGGCGGTTAATGCGCACTGCTTCAAGGCGTTCCTCAACATACCGCCGGCTCAGTTCAAACTGGTCTTTGACTCGGTGGTGTGGGCATTCAAGCACACCATGCGCAATGTGGCCGACATGGGATTGAATATCCTCTTTAAGGTGAATATCTCATTCCTAGAAGAATACAGTTTCCAACTAGAGCCCTGCATTCAATGAATTATTCTGAATATTTTGTTTTTTTATGAATGAATTAATTAGAATTTTGAGTTTAATAGAATTGAATGAATCTGAATTTTGAGTTTAATAGAATTGAATGATTGAATGGCATGAATTCCGAAATAATTCAAACGACAATTTCTTTAGAAGAAAAAAGGGCCATAATTTTGTGATTAAATCTGCATGAATTTTATTTCATTCATTCATTCAATTCGAAATGAATTAGAAAAACATTCAATTTATTTCACATAGAATTAAGCAAATCAGAAATTTCATAGCTTACTATGATAAAACAAAAATTAAATGATTCACGCAGGGATCTAATCTCATTCCAAGTTTCCAACAAAGTCGACTTATTAATATTAATTTTATTTATTCATTTACAGATGCTTCAAAACTTAGACCAGCATCCGGGTGCGGCGCAGAGCTTCTACCAGACCTACTTCACCGATATTCTGATGCAGATATTCTCGGTGGTGACCGACACCTCTCACACGGCTGGGCTGCCCAATCATGCCATCATCCTGGCGTACATGTTCTCACTGGTGGAGAACAGGAAGATTACGGTGGACCTGGGACCGATACCGGATAATATGATATTCATACAGGAGTATGTCGCGTCCCTGCTGAAATCGGCATTCAACCATCTGTCCGATAATCAGATCAAAGTCTTTGTCACTGGCCTTTTCAATTTGGACGAGAATGTGCAAGCATTTAAGGAGCATTTGAGAGATTTCCTCATACAGATTCGCGTGAGTATACTATGAATATTTTCCTAAATAAAATGAAACTAAAAACTGATTTACAGGAGGCCACCGGTGAGGACGACTCCGATCTGTATTTGGAGGAGCGCGAAGCGGCTCTGGCCGAAGAGCAGTCTAACAAACATCAAATGCAGCGTAATATTCCAGGCATGTTGAATCCGCACGAGTTGCCCGAGGATATGCAGGACGAATAGATGTCGATGTCGATGTCCCTGAGCTAGAATGTTTTAGTTGATGCTTGAGAATGATGATATGATGATGAGGATGAGGATGGTGATGTATGAGTGTTTCTCGAGCGAGAAAGTATAAATGTTTGTTTGATTGAATGCATATAAGTACGTTATATATATAAATACACCCACACACGACCCAAAACACACACACACATGCATACACATACTTCTATACAGATATAGTTGCGTTAAATGGTGAATGAGTAAATGGTTATTCGTGCGCAATTACATACATTAATATGATTAACATATTTTTGCGCATTGTCCTCGACATACCAGCATAAATAAGAAGCCCAGCCAGTTCCCAACTCCTTTATCCGCCCCTTATCCACATTATATAGTTGTAAAACTTCATACTAAAGGCAAACGATACGAAAGATGCAAACACTTTATTGTACTAATATAAAATAATGTTTGTTTAGAATTTTTTAAATGAGTAATTGTAGAAATATCGAGTATGAATGAATATTTGAATATTTGAATATTGAGCAAACACAAACACACCTCTCAGAGAAACCCCACACAAACAAGAGCAAAGGAAACAACAATAATATGAGAAAAAAGAAAAACCTAAAATAAATATTAATTTGTAGTGACATAAACAGAAGATCAGAGAAGCAGCAGGAGTAAACAAAATTCTATGCAATCGTTTTGCATAGTTTAGAATTAACACGACGATGAAGACGATGATGAACACAATAAGGAGATGATCAAGCAAACACGGCATCATAACCAGAATAGAGTTCATGCAATGTGTGAAAAATAGAACTAAAACGCAAATACCCAAAACACAAATACATCAAGAAAAACAAAAATAACCATAGTAATGCGTATTAATGATCATGTTTAAATTTTTACATAATTAGTTTGTACATTAATTTAAATAAAAATCAATTAAAACTACATTGATGTATGATGCAAAAAGCCATATTCAAGTTTTAATTATAAATAAGGATGTTTCGAACAGGAGAACAATTTTGAACAGTAATCCAGTTAGACACGTTTTTAAGGATACTGAAGATCTTTTTCATACGATTAAACATTTATTTTTATTATTTAAAGTCAAGCTTACAGAGATTTAAATGAAATATTTGAATTGGCAGTCATACAATTGATTAAATTAATACAAATTATTTAGGGCCCAATTTTCGCGGCACCGACAGTCGATTGTTGTGCAGAAATTGCGTGTCCTTTGAATAGTCTTTCCAGGTTTCGAAAATTCGCTGTGAAATGAGCCAGGTATTGCCAAGCGGCTCCAGAGGATAACTCTCCGTCCAGTTGCTAAAAGGCAGTTCGATTCGCTGCGAGACCTTCTGCTTGAAAGCGGTGCCATTGAAGGGTCGCTGGGAGTGCAGAGCCACGTTCACCTCCTCCAGGAAGAGGGTCCATCGGGGCAGGTAGTAATCGCTCACCAATCCCGACCACTGTTTGCAGGCGTAGTCCAGGATCTGACCATCGGGACCCCAGGCGGTGATTTGGTTCCTGGCATTGAATTCAAAGTTGCTACGCTCCTCGGCATTTGGAGCAGCTTGCTTGGCCTGCTCTAGCCATGGACCCAGCAGGAAGTTCCTGCCGCTGGCCAGGATCATCTCCAAATCTTCAAGGAGCTCCAGTAGTTTAGAGCTGAGGTATTCAAATCGCGGAACCTGTCGCTTTCGGTAGGCAGACCTCAGATTGATGTACAACTGATCGGCGCTGATCTGCAGAAACTGCCTGGTTATGTCCACCAAATCGTGCTCATACATATCGTATCGGTCGTCATCCAGCGGAATTATGGATCTCGAGGAGAGCATCAGATGCCAGGCATCCAAAACATCGCTTGCATTATACCATGTAAAAGGTTCCTGGTTGAAGGAAGGCCTCCGAGTCACCACATACTGACCCCGCATCTTCTGCAGTCCCCGGAAGGAGTAGACACTGTCCCTCAGCAGCAGCCAAGCCTGCTCCAGTCGCTCATCCTTCACCCCATAACGTGTTAGAGGGTAATGCACGAACCAACTATCCAAATCCAAGGGTTCATCACTCCAGCCGCGCTCCAAAGTCAGCGAATACATCACATAGTTCTGGCCAATGCCCTCGGGAGTGATCCCGGTGCCCACCAAACTGCTGTTGGGCCAACGACGCGCTGCCTCTATTCCTGAGTTTATCAGCTTGGCGGATCCGAACATCCCAAGGGTGCCACCAAAGTTATGCAGCATGCACCAAACGAAGGGCTGTCCAAAATAGGATTCAGTGAGCTCGTATTGCGGGAACTGTTCGCTCTGGAGATCGAGCACCAGGATGCGGCCACATGGAACGGCGGTGAGGAAAGCCCTCGCCATGTCCGGCGTCCAAAAGGGATTCTTGACGAACATCCAACCCTGCAGCAGCCAAATGGCCCGGGGATCAATCGCCCGCATGGATTCGTATATCGCCGCCGCTGTGGATCGCATGTAATCCGGTTTGGCCACCGGTGGCTCCAGTTCGTTGAAGGGATCACAAAAGAATATGTGATTCGAGCCATAGGTGGTAACTACGCGACTGAGGAAGCTCTCGGCTATCTGGTGGAAAAGCGGCTCCGTGGGTTCCACAAAGAGACCGCAGCAATAGCGATCGGGAAACTGATTCCATCGCTGCACCTTTATAAAAGTGGAATTGGGATGCAAACGTTGGAGAGCCCGTGGAACATGACCAGCAAAAGCGGGCAGGGCCACACTCATGCCGAGATTCCGCTGGGCTCCGAGGATCTCCTGCTGGAGGAGCAGTTGCAATCGTCGCCATTCGGGCGTCAGAGGTCCTGCCCATCCGCGGATATTGCCCATGCGTTGCCAGGCCTGAAAAGCGGGTCCAGCTAGATGATCATCGATCTCCTCCTGATTAAGGCCCATCTGCGTGTACACCTCCACCCAGATGGCTTCCTGGACGGGGGCAATGGTGAGGCTGATGCCCATCAGGGCCATCCAATCCAGGTGGCGGCGCCACTGCTCCAGGCCCCACCACGCGAAGCTGTAGCTCCAGGTGCAGACGTTCTGGTGATAGATCATCGGACTGGCTGACGTCGACTCGATGGTCACATTGGGCAACTTCAGATTGCTGGGCAGCTCGATGCGCATCTTGAACCAATCCACGTCCTTGTTCAGGACGTATTTCAGGTAGTGATGGAAGGCCTTGCACACGGATACTCCATCCCAGCCCACCAGAAGAATTCGACCATCGTTTAGCATGGAAATCTGCAAGAGAAAGATGATTTTTATTTTTTTAAATTTGTTTATGTATCCAAAATAAATATTTTTCTTACTTTTAAAACCATACATATGTATTTATGTATATTATTTTGGAAAAAAATCATGAAATCAAATATTTTTTACCATTTTATCTCATTTAGAGAGGTACAAATTGTCCATTTTGGTTTTTAGGTGTTTTGTTTTAATGGGACGACTTTTGAAAAACCCTAATTTTCAAAGCCCCACTTGCATCTCAAATTTCCTATTGATTGGGTACATATTATTAAGAGAAAGGTGTTGTTCATTAAATTTATTTATATTTTATTTTGTATCCAAAATAAATAATTTTCTTTCTTATAAAGCCCTATAATATTTTGTGAAAAATAAAAAAGCGACCTCAATTAAAGATATGCATTAAGGCATTATTTTTTAATATTCCATCTCCAAAGGAAATGAGAAAACTGACTATTTTTGCAGCTAGATGCTTTGTTCTCATGAAAGATCTCAACTATATTTTCCAAGCCCCACTTGCATTTCAAATTTCCTATCGATTGGGTGCATATTATTATCAGAAGAATGATTTTTACATACCTGAAAGCTGCGTAGCGCCATCCCCTTATTGACTTGAACCTGAAACAATTGAGAGGATCGTTCGCCGATTACTCGGCTGATTACCGCCCTGGCAGCGATCTCCTGGTCCTTTGGAGGAGTACTAGGCGATAAGTGGGCAGCCAAATGGAGTCCCATTTCACGACCTGGAACCTCCCCATTAGAGTCGTGTCCACGCTCCAGACAAAGAAACGCTAGTAAGGCCAAGGCCAGATTCCAATTGAGCTGCATTTTTTCCGACCGTCGCTCCCATGTGTCAATGTCATTGGAACGCAAGTGACTGACTGACTGACAGCTCCTCCGCTCGCAATTGAAGGTCTCCCGCAGAATGCGGGATGAGAAGAAAGAGCACTAAGTGAGCTCGATGAGCGGACAATGGCAGAGAAGAGCAGCTGGATTCGATCACTTTTTTCTTATCGCCGGATTGAACAATGACGCACTGAAGATTTTCATCGCGGGGGATCTGGAACCCTCTTTTAAAGTACTATAATTTTTATAAGAGGTTTGGGGCGAATAGTGTTAAGATCCTTTCTTCTCCTTTATCTAGTCTTTCACCTTCCTTATAAGTAGTTAATATAAAAATTAGACATCGGATTTTAGGTATAATCGTTTTTTTAAATAAGATTTAAAGTCACAAATTTAAAGTCACAAATTTAAAGTTACAAATTTTATTTATTAAGTTATAGTTAGATTTAGGAAAAACTTAATTGAGGTTTTTGAAAAAAAAATGTATCCAATCAAATGTGGCTTTAAATCATATTTAAAAAAACCATAATATAAAAAAATAACTAAATTAAATTATATAAAAATACAAGAATTTTATGAATTTCTATGACAAAAATCATTACTTCTTCAGAAATGCAAAGGGGTTACTTGAACCAAGGGTATCCTAAAGTCGACCTCGAAAGTTTACTTCTGTTCTATATGTTTTATTGCACTCTCTCTCAATTTAGAAGAAGTATCGGTAAAAACTACTCTTAACCAACAGGCCATTTCAATCCAGGTTCAAAAACCAGGCCATATATCGTTTTAGATCCCCAAGAGATATGATTAAAATACGTAATTACAAGGTCGTTTGAGCTTTATTGCACATATTTCGTCTTAGACACTAACAATAATATAGTTTATGCCGCCGACTGAGCCGCGATCGTAAGTATATAAATTTATGCAACTGCAAAAACCCTCAATTCATCACGCACGTGTGAAATGATGGATGCTCCGTGTGACAATCAGTGTATATAATTCCTAACAAATTTAATAACAATTTAGCGAATATATATAAAATATATGTAAAAAATTATAAACTCACTTCTACCATTTTTGGTTTTTTTTTGTTTCTTTTTCTGGCAACAAAATACAATTTCAAAGCCTTGGCCAACAACAAACGTACGTGTACGTCGGTGATGTATATATTGGTACTTAGGAGCTACGCTTAAATACCTATCATATACAATTTAAATGTTAAAAGCCTTTCGTGTTGCTCACTATGCATAAAATCAAAAATGACTAGCTCTAAACAGCCGCTGGCAAGTACACAAATCATCTAATCACTAGGTAACTCTATGTGGCTATCCTTAAATACAATTTAAGTACGTATGCAATTCATGTCTATGTGTTTTTGGCTGTGTGAGTTTACTGTACTGACTACTAAAACAACCTGGTTATAATATTGTTATAATATTCGTTTGCAAACAAATCTTTGGACAAATCACTCTCAATTTCCATTTTACCACAATCTCCTTGCGTTCCTCAATTCTTGACTGCAGTAAATTCGTTGTGCGCCACCGCCTCCTTATCTTTTTCAAAAGTTTCTCTCTTAGTCAACTCAAGAAAAGTCCTCTTTTAAAATGTGCTTTTCAAAATCAGAAGAACCAGCTTCAATTCAAAAGTTGTGCAAAGTATATGTTCGAGTTTGGAGTTCCCAACTTCACAGCATTTAGCATATTTGGTCAACATTATGCAATTAAAATCGAACCACATTTTATGAAACTCATAGCTAATATTCAAGCTTTTTTGGGCTATTGATCTTGGTAGCTAGATGATGTGTTCCTTGACTTCATTCCTTTGCTATGTAACCCTGTAATTCCGCATTTTAAGGATTAACATTTCTGCTAAGATCTTCATTTCTGGCTCTTCAACTTGGCTTTTTTGCTACCTTCTCGCTTTCTGTAAATTCGTTGCGCACATGGACTCATCTCACTCACTTATCGAGTAGGCTTTCCGAATGCATTTGCTGTGCCTGGTGATTCTCAGTTCCTCGGCATCGTGCGCCGGATGCTGGCGATGTGTCACCGGTTCCGGCACTTCGCTCGAGGACTTGTTCAGCGCATAGGTGCGAATAAAGTCGATGGTGGAGTAGCCTTGCGTCCCGGAGCATTCCTTTGCCTTGTTGGATGGGGTTTCTACCACTTCGGCGGCCACGCTGTTCAGGCTTTGCGTTTGAACGGGTGGTGGAGGAACGTCCAACGTTGTGCCCGCCTCGGGAGTAACTGGAGCAGTCACTGGTGCTGGAGTTGTTGGGTGGTTGACCAGCGACAGGCCGCTGCCAAATCCATTGATGGCTTTCGGAGAACTCGCCGGACCACTGGGACTTCGCGGCTGATCCAGATCCAGCACTATATAGTTTACTCCGCTGCTCCCGGCCAAACTAGTGGGCGTGGCTGGCTCTTGAGTGGCAATCGGTTCCCTTGGCAGCAGCGGCAGCTCCAAGCGATTCACATTCTCGTAGCAACGTTCGTTGCTCAGGTCAAAGATCAGGGCCTCCACATTGGCGTACATATGCACTGCATCGTTGGGACTCAAAAGAGGAGCTGGTGGCGGAGCAGATTCCAGCGGGGGTAGATCCAAGGTGCCCCTCCGCATACTCAACCTATTGCCGGAGGGCGGTGTGGCTAGCAGATCCGTGACATTTCCTCCTTCCAGGCAGCAATCCTGCAGAGCACTGGGCATCAAAACTGGGGACTGCAAATTGGGTGGAGAATCCTCAACTTGCGAGTCGTTCGGCTGCAGTGGATAGGATGCACTGGCGGTAGAGTGATCACTGTGGAAGTTGCCCAGCTGGCGGTTCATTAGGGGAGCCGGCTCCAGGTAGTTATTGCCCTCCGTTCTGCCCATGTTGGCGGACACGGAGTGCGCGGAGTTGACCCGCTCCCGTTCGCCCTGCACAAAGGCATCCGTGTTGACCGCGTTGATGTAGCGCTGGAACATCGGATAGAGCTGCTCGGCGTTGTGCACTCGGAAGGTGTAGATTCCCGGACCGGACATGCATCTGCGTCCCGCCTCGAAGGAGAAGAGATCGGCGTTGAGCCCGTAGCGACGGAGATGCTGCAATGCCCAGACGATGGGCTCGCAGCCGGGCGTCTGGAAGATCAGCTCCCGGGGCGTCAGCTCCAGATAGCCGCTCCGGATGATCGGAGTGCCCGGCGTGGGCTGCAGGTGGGCCACTCGCACACGGAACACATTCTCGTGACCACGCAGCTCGTTCAGCTTGCTGCTGCTAGTGATGCATCCCATGGTAACGAACTAAAGGGCGAATTAATGGTTATTGAAAGGGCATTCCACTCTGGTTAGGCACAGTGATTATGCACACCTGGACGGGCAGATCCGCCTGGTTCTTATCGCAGCGGGCATGGGAAAATTCGCAGGCCGATAAGAGCACCACCACCCACTAGCTCCGCCTGCAATCCGCCACCCACTGGAGGCTCTGTGGGATGGTTGCCTGGTCCTCGCGTTATCCTGGGTGTTTCCTCCTGCTCTGACCAACGGCTGCTCCTCGGCACATATGCTGATTGTTGTCACTCGGCCAGGGAAATTCCGTTTGTGTGGTATAAAAATTCTTCTACGACTTTTCCCTCCTCGCCCAGCAGAACGCAATTGTGAGCAGCGGGAGTGCCAACTTGTTTTTGCAAAAACGATAGAGTTTGAAATAAAACGGAGGAAAATTATAGGTAGGTTAGTTTAGTTTAAAAAAAATGATACTGGCGAAATATAAAAAATAAAGTGAAAGTTAAATTTGGATGAAAATTTTAAATATGCTTCAATTTTCTCGAAATTTAAAGAGTAGGTGATTTAATATCCTTGTTCTTTAGACATCGAGTCACCATTGAATAATAAATAAAAAAAACCAATAAAGTATAAGAAGAACTTTAAAAATATTTTATTTGAAGAAACTTTTTAACATCTGAATTCCCATTCCCTTTTAAGGTTTACGTTTTATAAAAAATAAGTAATCAAATCTCGAAAAACTGTTCTAAAAATTACACAATAATTCAGAATTGTATTAAATTGTTGTAGCTTTTTAACATATATTTTATTAAAATTAATAAACTCAAGCTGATTTTCAAATTATATAGAGGTGTATAAATAGCAAATAGTTTAGCGGGAAATCCACCCTGTTAGCAGCACTGTTTCGTCAGAAAAAAGTCCTAATGCGTTTCACTGCCAAAATACCATAACGCGTCGAAAATACCAGACCGAGCGGACATTTTTTATTTGCGGAGCGCGCAACAAGAACGAGAAAGAAACCGAAACGGAAAGCAGGCAAAAAGAGCTGCTGCCAGTGTAGAATAATCGCAAAGCAAAGAAAGAAGCAAGTGCGTGTGTTTTTAAACCGAAACCGAGAATCGAGCCAGGTAAATTGCACTTTAAGTCATAAGAAGATCAGACAATGCAGGCGTAGTTTAAAAATGGAATAAAACCAACTAAAGCCAAGCAGGCAGACGGCTTTTGAGTGTGTGTGTGTGTGTGCGTGTGCGTGAGTGGTGCTACTTTTGAAATTCTCTATACCCGCTCTGTACTTCGCGTCTGTTTCGAAGGAGGAAATTGTGACCAAAAGGAGACAAAAGGGTATCCAACGAAAAGTTACTAACTGGTTTAACTAAATGCTAACTGTATTCGGGGCACAAGTGTTTGAAAAAGCGACGCCCGCCGACGCACACACATACACGCAGGAAAAAAGGACGCCATGCAGGCGGCTTAGTGTGCGTGAGCGGCGGAAGAAAGAAGGAGAGAGCGAGAGTGCTGAAGATCGTCGAATTTGGTTTCATTAATTTAAGGAAACCTTTCTTTGTTCCCGTCCCCCGCCCCCGCAAAAGCCTTGCTTCGAATTTCGCCACTTTGGAGCAGTTGCCTTTTTACAAATTTTTGGGTGTGCCGCCTTCAATGCGTCGGCGTTGCCACCACGTCGGCGTCCGCAGCAGCGGCGGCGGCAGCGACGCCGGCAGAGGCAAACACCATGCCGGTGTGGCTTTGTATCCGTTTCGCTCTCTCACTCTCTCGCTCGGCTCAGCCGCTCTCTCCTTTTTGTGTCTCTCCTTCGCCTCGCCTCGCCTCCTTCCTCCCGCTCCCGCTCTTCTTGTCCTTTGTGCCATCGCTTCGCCTTGACTTCTGGTTCATTGTCGTTGTCTCCTCTTTGTTTGAATTGTACGCCTGATTACACTTGCCAACATGTTTCTCCTGCTCCGCCAAACATCCTTGTGCAAGGTGCATCTATGTAGCGAGTGCTCACTGTGGCCACTCGATCTTCGTGTGTATGTATGCCGCCTGCCGTTCCCCTTTTGCGTCTCAGTTTACTCAGATTATCGATACGAGGATCGTCTTTTTGTTTTTCCTACATTTTTGTTGCGAAAAATTGCGTCGCACTTTGTGCAGCGTCAGTTTGTCAGTTGGCCCGTCCGTCAGTCAGTCACTCAGTCGTTCAATCGCTCAATCGCAGACGGGCAGACAGCCACCGCCCTAACTGGCGTCGCCTATGTGCCTTTGTATGGGTGTGTATACGTGTGTTTGTACTTGCGTGCCTCGCTGCATGTGTATGGGTCCTTTGCGAATGGAGTGGGTGGGCAGAGGCAGAGGAGGAAGAAGAAGCGCAATCAGAAGATTTTCGATTGTCAACTGCAATTTAAATTCTTTTCTATGAACTATTTGCAACGCGGAATGCAAATTCATTTATTATAGCCTAAACAGGATGGTGCGATAATTTTAGTCGGGCGTTTGTTAAGGACAATTAACAATGCAAGTCTGAGAGATATTTTATCATTTAATAAGGCAGGGAAAGCTTTATTTTCCTTTTAAAAAATAAGCTAACTCTCCTTTAAATCTTTGAAACATTTAATGTTAAAAAACATAAATGCTTTAATGTTTAAAAATAGTTTTTACTGATTTGTATTGTACTTTTTTTTTTTTGCTAATTGTGGTCTTAAAATAAACAATGGTATTTATCAAATCAACCTCAAACGAATTGTTTATTTGTGTAAACAAATTTTATGTTCAACAACATGAAAGCCATTTTTAATATCTCAAAAATAGATTTATAATTTCTGATTAATTGAATAAAATGTAACTCTTAGCTACTGTACCAAAGTTTAAATTATTTCATTACCATTATGGGCTTTAAAATTGTATCACATATTATTTCCCAACTGGGTCAAGGAATCCGAATTTAAAGAATTTTCGAAATTCCATTAACTTCCTTAAAATTTGATAAGAATTTGCATTCTGATTTGCCTTCACACCCAAAGTGTAAACAATTGATTTATTTCGAGGGAGTTTTCTTCGATTTCAGGTAGTGGTCTCCATGTGAATGTTATCTTTAAAATTTGCTGAATGCCATGGCTCTCAGAGAATTTGTGGCGGGTTTCCCTTGAAGTCGACTCGAATTACGTGTACATATTTGCCAGTCGTTCACTGAGGACGAATATAATGCTTTTGTTGCTGCTGCTCTTGCCTTTATTGGTGAATTTGTCAACGTTTGCTCAAACTCAAGTAAACATTGCATTGCGATGGGGAGGGGCTGAGGGCAAATATAACGATTCGTCAAGTGCGATTCGCGGTTAACCGGCAAAGCTCGATCCCACAATTGGCCTTAAATTTGTCGATTAGGAAGAATTGATGGAAAACATAGAAATTTCCGTGGAATTTTGAAATAAATTTAAGTACTTAAGAACTACAAAGTTAAACTTAACATAACTATAACTTAACTCTTTAAATGTCGTTTTCTCGTCCGTTTGTTAAATTTGAAGTTGCGTTAAAACCTTGAAATCGTTTGGGAAATCAGAGTTTTAACCCTACTTTAAATTTAACAGGCGGACGAGAAAACGGTCCTAAATTTAACATATGGATGAGAAAACGGGCTGAAATCTTGTAATACTATGGACTATTCTAGCGACAGACCTGTCCTGTCTTATTATTTCCAAACTTTTTTCAAAAGTTGCTGATATTTTCTATGATAGTTTGAAAGTCTAGCTACTTCCTGGAATGAAAGTAAAACTTGTGAGTTTAGATGTAACCCAACCGATCTAATAAAACGCAGAACGAGCCGCGGGTTCCAGTCGAAAAAGAGAGGTCTGCCAATCCATTTGTGCGAAACATATGAGGCTCAAAGTCCGAAGCTCAATTGGGGAGCATGGGTGTAAGTAAGCCAAAGTGTTGAGAGGTCCCTTGTCACCGATACGCGATATACATTCGTACTCGCGTGTATTGTGTACACAGAAAGCGAGCGAATTTCTCATTTAATATGCAAACATCTGTGTGAAAGATGTTCGAAGGCTGCGCTGCTGCGAGCGGAAAATGTTCGCAGATTGAGCAGATTTTCATTCTACGTTTTCTTTTCGAAAAGATGGAGTGATATTCATTCCCCCCACCAGTGGGCCACTTGAAGCCACTAATTCCCCAGGAATTCGGTTTGGTTCGGGCACACAAACATAATTGCTGGGGGTGCACATTATTTGTGTTGTTTTTGTTGTTTTATGAGGCATTTGGCGTGCCGAATGGGCATTGTATTAATGCCAAATCAACAGAAATGTGGAAAATAGAAAAATATGCGTAGTCCGCACTAAAAATCAATCGCAGTAGCCCCAGAAATGAAAATAAACAAAGCTACGGAGGCGAAGATAAGCGGCCCTGGTTGATCCGATACGATCCGATCCCGATAGAGAATTTTATTTAAATTCAAGCTTTTGGTGGCGTTCGATTTCGTCGTTGCGGTTTTCTGATTTGCCTTTGTTGTATGGCTTATCAAAGCCTCTATTTGTTCTCAGATTCGGAGGTACAGTGATCACAATGCAAATATACATAAAATATTATAAATTTATAGGAACCATAGGATCTTTACCTAGTTTACATATTGATAATTATTTCTAGGCCAATGTAATATAAAGTGCCTGAACCATTACTTAAGTAATCAGTAATTAAAATCTATTGAAATTCATAGCTAGTTTTTGAGAACTCCGATGGTATATCGATGTTGTACTGTCTGTAGTTTTTTATATTTTTAAGGGCGTTTTTCCCTAAATGCTTTTTTAGCAAATAGCAGAGGAATTTCTTATCGTACTTTCTTCTTTGCATTGAAAAAGGTATCCAAACACATTATATTCGAATCTATTGGGTTTGGATCACTAGTATATGGGAAATACTTCCAAGAGGAGCCGGTTCCATTAACCTCGCGACCACAGCAGCGATTTATCTTGAATTGGAGTGGAGTTTGGATGGAGTGCGGAGTGCCCCCACGAAATGCATTTTCCCATTCCCCGAGACACAATTACTTTCCCATTCGAGGGCGATAATTAAATAACAATACAAGAGTCCCGTTGAATGTTACACCATATATTTCGGTGATTCTTCACGCCTTCTCTTTCTTTAATTTGCCTGGGTGTGAGTGTTTGAGGCTCCCCCTTGCACACACATGTGCATATTGTTTATTCCCGCTGATTTTGCTTTTGCTTCTGTTTTTGTTGCTTTCGCTGTTGCATGTGGGGTCATTGTGTGAATGGCAGCGAAATAAAGCAATAAAGCATACGCATCGACGCCGCCAAGGCTCATTAGTTTGTTATTGACCAAGGAGTGAGAAGAGAAAGAAGATGATGAAGAGGGGAGGGGTGGGTAGGCACCAGGAGCACGCCTTTATCTTTATCGGCAGCTGACGGTCAATAAGTGTAAATATGTATGCATGCATGTGTGACTATGCCCGCATTTCTCTGCTTCTGCCTCTGCCTCTTCTGACTCCACTGCTTCCGGCTGGCGTCGCTGTCTCTGCCGCGGGCGACGCCGCCGCCTCTGCCGACTGCAAGAGAAGTTTCTGCTGCCATTGATCGCGACTCGCTCTCTCAGTCAACGTTTTTCGCTCGACTTTAACGGTTCTCGTGGGGATTTAATTCCAGTCTGCAAAACAAAAAGCAAAAGACGCGGAGTGCTAAACGATTAAACTATTACTCTCACTAGTTAATTGCACAGTTAACACAGTTAGTTTTGCATCCAGTTAAGAGAGGCAGAAAACAAGGAAGAGAAAGAGACCACCCGCGCGTTTGGCGAAAAATAGTAAGTACCACCGGAAATCGAGGAAAGAGTCAGCCAATCAACAAAGGGGTCTAATGAATTATGTATAAAAAAAGAACCGCTTACAACAGACACACTTCGGGTGCCCACTGTGAATTTCTAATCAGAAAAGCTGTGTGCCGCTGCTCTTTGCGGAAAATGAATGCTAATTGGCCACGCTACCTAACTTGTTGTTGTTACCACTTTTTAATACACAACTTACAACTGTCGCACGCCTCTCGGAGTTTTAATTAACCGCAACGATGGAGTAGAGAGAGAAGGAAGTGGTGCTGGTGGGACCGAGAGAATCAGCAAAGAGAGTTGG